TACTGGTACTAGTACTAGTACTACTAGTACTAGTACTACTACTACTACTACTGCTGCTACTACTACTACTACTGCCACTATCTGCTGGTGGTGGTGGTGGTGGTGGTGGTGGTGGTGGTGGTGGTGGTGGTGGTACTGCTGCTGGGTGACATCTATCACCATCTTGCCAAAGTGCAGGAGACCAACAGCATGCTTGTTTTGGCGAAGCTCCGCCGTGGAGGCAAGCACCTTTCAGCAGTGGCCTGCGGTGGACATTTTACAGAATGTGACGCACTTGCTACGACTAAATAATATTGCCAGGATCATGCAGATGTTTTAAAAGAGAGCCTTGTCCTCAATGTTAAGCGCTTGCCTTTTTTCCCCAGTATGCATGTGGGGGAGTATTTGCCGCTGAAGCGTTGAAGGCTTCTTCACGCAAGCAGTTCTGCTCATGCCTAACCAAGCCATGCGCGCGATGGTCCGTAGAATGTATTTAGGAATCCAGGGATCCCAATTTTGTTTTATCTCCTGGTTTGATCAAAGCACCTTTGGTGTCAAATCACGAAGCCTCACAGTGATGATGATAAGAAAGAAGGCTGCGGCCCCTTCACTCCTTGCTGAAAGATGCCCTGTTTCTCCCCTCGCCTTTGGTGAGGTCAAGCTACGCAGCTGCTTCGGGCCGAGCTTCCATCCCTGAAGGTGTCCTCCTTGTGGGGGTTTTAAAGTTCCTTCGCGTAATGTTCTGAGAATGCGAGCGTGGAGCTCGCAAAAGAGCATGGATTTTGTCGAGCTACCATTGTCGTAAATGCCAATAGAAGCTTCAAGAGGGAACGAAGCTTCCCATTGATGGACCCTTATGGCACTGATAGACACAGTTGTTTTTCAACATGTCTATACCATGTGTAGCTTAATTGAAGCTTCTTAACAGCAACTCAGAACCCCATCCCGCAGGATTGCGGCACACCTGAGTCGTCGCCGGTTCGAGTGAAATCAGAAGTGTCTCAATCTTCCTAGCAGCTCACTGGTGCACATGGGAGAGTTGTGGAGTGGATCCTTATTAACATCATGAATCATCTCTGTATGATCCCCATATATATATATACCCGCATAATAGTAAGGCAGAAGAGTTGAACTGCCAGGCCTCGTTTCTTGCAGACCTGGCAGCAAGTTCTGAAACGGTCAGCTTACATACCTAACCTTCATAGGTTTCAGGGTGCTGGGCAAGGTTGGCATACATGGAATTGTCAGCTCCATTGTGGATTGCAAAGTTGCTGGGTTGAGTTTTCGGGACGACTGTCACTCTAAATCCTCTCGCAAAAGCCCTTACCTGGGGATGCGGAGTACGGGCGCCTGCCCCTTCAACGTGAAGTCTCTACGAGGAACGGCTGGTCGTAAGCTGAACCAAAATGCGCAATAGCATGGTCGTTGGCCGGAGAAACTTAACTTGCTGCCGGCCTTGTGTACAGATTTTAATGATTTTTCACTGTTTCCCCTCCTTTGCAGCGTGAGCCAAGATGGCAGCATCCGCATTGGAGAGTCGGGTCTCTGCTTCGCTTGAGGACGCCGTTGCGTGCACACCGGCCAATAAGGCTGCTGGTTGTTGCATTCAAGGGGCCTGGTTCCCTGCAACGTTACATTTTCCCTGAGAACATGCTGTCTTTGAGTGTTTCGAAGGGCGGCAATCTACCACAGGTAGAGATGGCAGCTTGGCTTCAAGGACTTGTCTTGTGCTCTTTGTTGATGCTGCACTGCGGCATGTGCAATCATGTCGACGCTCAACGAGGCGAAGCGGATACAGGAGTTGGACCTGGAGGACTGGCGTCTTTGATTCTCGGGACATGCTCGCAGACGCGCCTGCCTTGGGGTGGTGCCATGACAGGCGCGAATCGAAGCTTGCCGGTACGTTGACTACTACCTGCTGCGAGAAGCTCGGTCTGCTTGTGCAGTGCGCCACGCGTCCTGCACGGCGTGGTGTTGCAGCTGCCTGACGATGGCGTTTGTAGAAATGCTTGCTGAATGATGGTTGTTTCAGCAGAGTCCAGTAGGCCTGGCCGGACGAAAATGCAACTCACGCCAATCTGACGGGCTTGGAAAGGGTTGGAAGATGTTGGAAGGGACCCGGCCGTTCTGGCAGAGAGAGTGTCGTGGCCAGGAAAGAACTCCTTGGGTCGCTAGTCTGCGAAACTGCACCAGCAGAGGTGGTCAAACCAGTCTCAACTCGTGCTCCACTGCTGGCTCGGTTGCGCAGGTTCTGGACTTGAGTCAGCTGGGCATTTGTCGGTCAGAGATGATCATGGACTGGGTGCCTTTGCAAGTGAGTCCGGATGGAAGGGTGTCGCTGCTTTGCTGCCTCACGGAGGGAAGGTGTTGGGTCTGTTGATTAGGCTCTGCTTGTACATGCACGTAACTGCATGTAAAAGCGTTTCTAAGATGTGCAGTCAAGTCCTCCTTCCCCTTTCCAAATTTCCAACCACATGCAGGAGCGAATCAATTTAGCAGGCCTTCGGATCAAGAATTGGCGTGCTGGCCTCAGCCCCCGCGGTCCAAAAATGCATGGATTATGACAAGCAAAGCTAATACGCGAACCGGGCTCGTGACATTTCAAAGCTAGCATCTATTCCGCACCAGGCACCATGGCTGTTTTCTCAGCCCTACGTTAGGATTGCAGGCGCCATTGCCACAGGTACTAATGCGGTTGTCCACTGTGCAAAACTGCACTGGTTTCGTGGTCAGAGCCAGCGCAGTTGTGTGTGGATGGTATTGGCTGGGCAGGCAAATGCAGGTTCAGTTGAACCGCTGCCACACTTCTGAAGACTGCTTTTCCCAGGCTTAGAAAATTCTCACGTCAAGAAGATCGAGATTTCCAGGCATGTGTACATTCATCCTTGAAGCAGCTTGCTAAGTTTTTTTTGTTGTCGAACTCAAGCATGGGCAGGTGTGATTTGCTTGACTGTGACTTGTCCTTCACGGTCACAGCTGGAGAGGTTTTTTGGCTTGGGTTCGCCATGCACTCACCGTGACTGCTCCTGTTGGATGAAAAATGCCAGGTGAAGGTGAGCAGCTCCCGACTGGAGAACGTGCAGTTTGGCGTTTTCACAATGGTTGCATCTGTGGAGGCCTGCGGAAAAGAGACATGCTTGTGTGCCTCCGGAACATTTTATACAAGCTAAGGAGTCTCAGCTCGTGCGATGCAATCTTCGAGTCGCTGAAGAGCTTTTTGTCGCTGACTCTGCTGCTTGGCTCAAAGACGAATGACGAGGCTTCCTGCAGAGTACACGACATGAGACGCCAGCAAGGAGTTGGACAGCTGCACCTTCAAAGGGAGCGATGAAGATAGGAAAGACAGGCAGTTCATCAGCATCTTGGCTTGGAATGCAAGATTCAAGCGACAAGTTGTTGGTTAGTGGAGAGTCTGGAAAGCTAAGGTGCCATCTTCAACCATTCAGACTTGCGTGGAGCCAGCGTCGAAGATGCGTTTGCTTGTGTATCCGCACCAGACGTTCTGCTGACGATCCGAGTTTTGCAGGTGTCAAATTTCAAGCCAATATGTACAGCTACCTCTTGCAACAAAGCATGGTAAGGTGAGCTCAGAGTGATCAAATGGCATAAAAGCAATCCTGAAAACGCTACCACACACCCACTTGTACAATGCAACCAGTTTTCCAGTTCGCAAGCTGCGAGCGAACAATTCAGAAATGCAGCAATGTGCTCCGCTGCCCCCATGTGCACACCAACCCTGCGCTTCCAAGCTGCCGAACCACTGCCGCTGCTCCGCGGCCATTCGCAGAGATGTGGTGATCGGCGTCGGCCAAGGCTGCTGAGTTTTTCTTCGCAACGTGATCGAAGAGCTACCCACAAACCCGACGCCATGTTCAGGTCTTCTGGCACAGTCAAGCGTACCTCCATTTCGTGCCTAACATCGTGCCGCTTAGCTGTTCAACTTGCTATAGTCTGCATGTTGAACTGCAGCCCACATCTCGGGGTGATGCAAAAAATCCTATCTCCTTCTTCCATGCCCAGGCTTATTGCTTTCTTGGCGGGATCAGAGAGCACTTCGCTCTGGCCGCAGCGCGAGCGATGCTGATGCATGGGACGGGGTTGAGAGGCTCCTCGTCTGATAAATCCAGATCTTTGAAGTCACATTGGAAGCTTGTGGGTATTTGGGGCAAGCAGGCCATCCCTTAGAAAATGACTTCAGTACACACGAACCTGCCGAGCCGGTGCACCTGCTCGATCCGGCGGATGAAGTTTTTTTCATGGCAGACCCTGCGCACTACAGGTTGGATCTTTCTCACAGCAGCGGCAGCGAAGGCATGTGGCTTTTTTGAAAGCTGCAGTTGCCCGCTGGCTGTGGGAGGTGCTGAGACGTCACCTGCTGAGTCAGCAGAGAATCTGCTTGAGCTGCCCCTGATGCCGCTACCAGCCGTGCTGCCTGTCAGAGTGAGTGGAGATTGTCACGGGTAGCTAATTGAAGGGAGACCACCCAAAAGAGACGCACCGTGTTGATTGCCTCATGGGGCTTTCGTATGAGTGCAGCGTAGCAGCTTTGCCAAACGACAGGCACACATGGGCTGGTTTGCTTCTCCAGACATATTTTTTTACTCAATGCAGCACGGAGCGCCGCATCCAGAAGCCTGAGGTACCTGCCGAGTCCGAGCCAACAGCTGATGATCTCAGAGCCGAGGCTTTGGCGGAGATAATGTCCATGCCATCAGCAGCCCACTTCATTGCCTCAAGTGTCGAGGGTTGATAGCACATTGGCAGGTATCTGCAGCTCTATGATGACATCCTCCTGAACGGAAGCCGCATGTTTGTGGTCGCCCATCGCCACGATAACCTCCTGGCAAGGGTTGGCTTGATCTTCCACCTCAAGAACCTGAAGGATGTTTCAACTGACACGCACGGGCACGTCAAGTATGCTGCTTGCCTGCACTAACCGCTAGCCGCCCCTAGCCATATGAGCCAGCACGTTGATGTTCGCCGAGCGCCAGGGAACATTATGATTGCTAAAAGCGATGCACAAGCAGACGCTATCAACAAACGTGAGTCGCTGGCATCCATGTAAGGTCGGCAACCATTTGCTATTGTGGACTTTTGCGCTTAGGCAGCTGACCATGAAGTTCGAGGGCGTGGAGATCTCAGGAAAAAATAAGCTGTTACATGGGGGTTGATTTGCACAGGGATTCTGGATTTTGTGAACTCGGATTGTTCTTTGGCCTTCCAAGGAGTGCGCATACTTTCCGTAAGAAATCCCGAAGAGTGGACGTCGCAATCCTCCTACCTCAGAGCTCAGGCTCGTGGCCTCTACTGCGCTTGAGCCCCCTGTCCTGAGTATCATCCCGCATGCTATGCTGGAGGTGCAGCTGATTGACCCACTTGACCAGAAAAACATGTCGGATGCAATGAACAAGGCTCTGTTGCTCTGAGAGCCTAGCGGGCTGTGCCTTCGGTTTCCTGCACTTCTGCAAGGACATCTCGCCTTCATTGATGCGCATTCGCCAGAAGCTACAGGATTCTTTGGCTTTGCAAGGCCGGGCTGTCAAAAAGCATGGTGGGTATAGGTCTTACACCAAGTGGTAGTTTCCCAAAATAGGGAGCCCCCAATATAGACCCCAAAATACTATGATCCTTATTATTGGGACCCCCAAAAGGTACTCCTAATTTTGGGAAACCACCAACTTGCTGTGCATTAGTGGAGAGGTGAACTCCAGCAGCAGGAGCCCGTGAGGGCCTAAGAGCTGGGGGACAGGACTTCAATTTTGGGGAGCGCCCGGGTGGAAAATAAGGAAATACGTAAAAAATCGTAAATACACATATGTATATATGATCTTGTATTCTACTTTATTTATTATGTATAGGTTACATTTTGCATGTTATGTATTATATATATATACACATACATATACATATGTACATACACAAATATGTACACACACACACGATATTATATGGTGCGTACTGTAGGTTCTGTCGCAAACATGCATATGTTCATGTGTGCATATCCGTCCTGGCGGCTGAGGAAGAGCTTGGAAGATTGGCTCGCAGCCTGCGACTGGCAAGCGTGATCAGGACCAGAGTTCCATCGTTTTGTTGGTTTCGCCACGTACTTTTTGCCCTTGACAGGAATCCGGGCTTTTGGGCCCTAGCCTGAGACATGCAGAGGCAACTTCCGGTTCTGTGCTTGAAAGACCTCAGGATATGTGCAGCATGCTGGCCTCTGTGCAGTCCTTCAGGCCGCTAGACCAGAAAGCTTGGGGCCAGGGCAATTGAAGAATCAGAGATCTTGATGCCTTCCAAGGCTTCAACTGAATATCCGGCGAATGCGGGAGAACGTGAAGCGGCTGACTTCAGAGTGGGCGGAGCAAAATCCAGAGGCCCATGCGAAGCTACGCGTGGTCCTCGCTTGGCTCTAATTCGTGGTTGCCGTGGTTCATCTGCCTACTGCGGCCAATACTGGGGATCTCACTCGGTTGGCGATCCAGCGAACACAAGTTGCTGCTCGCAATGCAGTGAATGATTGTCCGCTTTCTTCAAACTGGCAACACATTCCTAGGGGTGTGAAACGCTTGATGTATCACGTTCTCAACATGCGCCTCACGCGATGCACATAAACATGGTTCTGTGCTGTTCACCGGCAGGGTCTGGAGGCTTTGAAGAAGCAGCCGGAGGTCCGCGTGAGAACTTCGGAAAATTATGGGTCACACTTGTCCGGAAGACATTGGATTTCTCTTGCGTACTGAGCAGGATATCAATTTCCTGGAGTCTAAATCAGTAGAATCAATTGGGGGCCTTGAGCAAACCGCTCAGTTCAGAAAAAGTAGCATAGATTGGCTTTGTCGAAGGTTGTCAACATTCAAGATCTTGGTAGGGGGAGACAACCGAAAGCAAGTTGGAACACCTTTCGTTTGTAGCAGGTCTTGCCTGCTCATATTCGTCGTGAAGGTGAACAAGTGCGTGAGATGCTTCTGGACGGCACCGTCCAGCTGCAGGGCACCTTTCAGCGCAGTTGGACAGCAAATAAGAAGAGAGATGCTCGTAGGCTGCACTCACTGCCATGTTTCGTCTCGACTGCCAGTGCATGTGATGTGGTTCTGTTTACGAGCATCTTCGAAGCAAGCAAACTGTCCCATGAAGGCATTTTGCAAGCACTGGATGTCCAAGAGCAAGCAGATCTGATGGAGAGCGCAGTGGACCAGGACTTACTCCAGTCCTTGCAAACCACCTAAACCTATTCATTTCAAGCTGACTGTTGCTGTAACAACAAGTCGATGGTGAGCTTCTGACAGCTCTTTGGGATAGCTGTAGAACGCTTGTTTTCTTGACTCCACAAGTTGAGGACGGGCCTCGGCCCACAACCGCACGAGCTACAGTCTAAACGCCTTGAAGGGGGTTATTGTAGAGGATTCTATACAGTCCCCATTATAGGCCTTCTTAAGGGGGATATTAGGAGTTTAGACTATAGCTCACATGCACTACTTGCGAAGCTACCTCAAAAGCTGAATGTAGGACATTCAGCATGTTACAATATGTGACGCCACCACAGACAAAAAATACGTGGGTTACAAACACTATGATGTCATACACGGTCTACGCTTTTGCGTAGCTACCATGGCCCAGGAGTTGCGGCGCATGCACGCCCTGCGCACTCTGAAAGATGCCTTAGACCGGTCACCCGGACAGGATGCACCTGCAGAGCCGTAGAAAAAAGGCGCTGCTTCCTTTGGCATTTGTATCTGGCTGCATCCGTGGGATTGGTAGCGAGTAACATAGGCTAAATGTCAAGGACGTTGGAATTGTGAACACAATGGCTTCTTGCCTTTGTAAGGGATCTTGGGGGACCACCCTTTCAAGCGTTGATTGTCAGCAAAGAAATCAATTAGTGTCCACTACACGACGTCAAGCAGCAGCTAAACTTGGCGCAGATTCTGCCTCTGTGCTGAGGACATCACCTTGCCGTTCGACCGGGTTGTTTGTGAGCGAACGTACTTCCATGGCCGACTCCTCCGCATGACGAAAGGCCTGCAAATTGTCAGTAGGTCTTTGCATGGCCTTGTCTTCTCAGAAGTGCTTTCATAGGCTACATTGTACGGATACCCTGACGGGCCCTGATTTGAAGCTCCACTGTGAACACAGGTGGCTCCACCATCAGCTTGCGGCGGGCAAAGCTGCGCATGCTGCCAAGAATAGTCTAGTCCTGAGCTGCTTGTCCTTGCAGTGGCTCCACATCTCCTTTGAGATGGTCTTAGATATAAGTCAGGGTTCCTCTGCAAAAATCAAATTGAAAGGAATGCGAGGGCAAGATCCTCCTTTGCTTGGAGGTTGCTCGCTCTGTCTTCCAGCAATTTGACCAGCCTTGAAGCGAAAGCCACCGGTAGGACTGCGACCTGCTGGAGCCTGTGACTTTCCAGGGCATGCGGCAGCCATGACATGTTTGGTAGGCATGCTTTGCTAGGCGGGTGTGTGCTTTCTTGAGAACTTTTGGCTTATGTGGCTTTTGCAGTGCCTGCGTGTGTTGTGATGTATGTAGGTGTCATAGGGGCATTGGGGCTCTTGCGCGTCATGATGGACTAGACGTTGCAGGCTTCAGCTGCGGGGTGTCCACTGCACGAAGCCCTGTGAGTTCCGGGAGGTACAGCTTTGTTTGCGGGTCTTGTCCTTTTGCAGGACTTACCGGGGCCTGCAAAGCCTTTGCAGGTCGAGTTTGCAACGAAGGTGTGTGACATCGTCTTCCCAAGGCCACATCAACTCTGATGTGAAAGTTGTGGAGCTGGCAGACCAACCACCACCTCTGCTGGCAAGGAGCAGTCGGTTTGTGAATGTCCGCTTCAAGGATGGGTTACAGGTACGCAGGGTCTTGAGAAGCTTGCGGAGCTTGCACGCGCTGCATTTAGCGCCAGGCTTGCGTGGCCAGTGCCTGCCGATTTGAGTGCGCCCGGAGACCGTTTCGTTGTGAATGGAATGCTTGCTGATTTAGACGTGCACCGGCAATCCTTTGCTAGATGGAAGACAGACATTCTTGGAATTCTTAGTGGTAGCTCCGCCAAATTGTAACGTTAGTTCTGCATGCAGATGTTGGCCTTTCCATACCTTGTCTGCGACAGCCGAGCTGAAGCTGTTGAACAGACGCCAGTGTGAACATGGTGAAAGAGCCGCGAAGTTATGCATCAAGAAGCTCGTCAACGAACATGCTTCCCCTCCTCGTCATCACTCATTACTCCTCACAACTCCTTACTGTCGCCGTCATCATGGTCATTATGGTTGTTGTCATCTTGATGAGCGAAATTGCTCTGGCTCCGGATATGACCCAAAGATATTTATTGACCGTAGCTCAGGGTTTTAAATCATCAAAATCAACAAAAAGACGGCCAGGATGAAAGGCTACTAGAATAGGGGTTTGGAGGGGGTCTGCCCTCAGACCCTCAAGTCCTGGCAAGCCTGTGATTGAGCCGAGGACAACTTGGTAGTGAAAGGGCTGAGGCTATCCAGCCCAAATAAGGAGACACGAAAATTCAAAACTGGACTTGTAGGGTTTGGAATGTCGTGTTTATTTATGGTCTTTGACAGTAGCCAATCACCAACAATCCTATCAAACATTCTTGCATCATCCATCAGCCAGAACCTCTGATGCCGCTTTTCATGCATGCCTGTCACCACCACTTCTTTTTACAGGAAATCAATCGCACGGCAGCATCTGCTCATTGCAGGATATTTCACTGGCGATGGCTGGCTCTCGAAAAAATGCTTTGCGCAGTCTCGATACCGCCCCACATGTGGAAACGGATTGTTGAAGCTGCCAATCCCCATGCGTGGGCGTCACAACACCTCAGCCAAGAGAAGACTTGAGGCACGTGATAATCGCACAATCCAGCAGGCCAAACATCAAGGCAGAAGCAAAGCAGAGAAGAAGATATTTGCCAGCCATCCATCACATAACATGCCAATCATATCAATGCAATGCTTAGTGCCAGTCCATGCCGAAGAAACTCTTGAACAACAAGGTATTAGGCCACGGGTGAACGCAATCAGGGTGACGGCAAGATTTGTTGGAGCACCACAAGTCGTGCAATAAAATGGGTTCCTTCGATTCAATTTCTCTTTGTGGCAGGAACAAAATCTCTGCAAGACTTGTAAAGGGATGAGGACACAACTTGGCATGCTATCAGTTTACGTATAAATATATATATATATATGCACTCTACATATGTACACATGTAAATATATGTATATATCTATGTATTATCAACATGTATGTCCAGGTACTGCAATCTGGGCTACGGCCAGGATGCGGTGGCGGATTGTTTGCTGACTCAGCCCGTTTCCCAAGAGATTGATCATGGCCAAAACCCATGCGTTGATGCGCATGCGAACCTTTGACGTGATAAAGGGTGGGTGCACTGCCGAGGTGCCATTTTCAATCATGCCACTTCCCTTTCTTGGAAGACTGCTCCCCTGCACGGGCCCAAGCGTTGCTGCTCTGACAGAGGTTCATGCAAGCCCCTCAATGTGTCTTTGCCATCGCAGCGCAGCCGGGAAATGCTCGCGTGGTGGTCAGGTAGCAAACTTCGCTGGCAGCCAGTTCAATGCATGCCGCATACAGTGGAGCGGACCATTTGCGCATGAGGACTCTCCAGATACGGGGCTTGCAGCATAGAATCTGGAGCCGGAAGCTATTGTGTTTGAATTTGAATCATGCTGTGCCTGCAAGCGCCATCATGGTCTTTACAAAAACATGTCCTCAGAGTCCAGCAACTACATGCACCAAACCTCGGCTGGCATGTTTCGCTGCTTCGGCTTAGTACAATCGGGACCTTGCTGCGTACATCTGCGTACACTTCAGTGCACATGGCTTGGCTTCGAGTTTTCGTAAAGACTCACATCAGAGGGGTTGAAGGTTTAAGGAGTTGCATCTATAGTCCTCAGAACAGAAGCATTTGAGCGCAAGCAACTGGCGCATCATGAGTATTAGCATGCTAGCAACCAGATCCTAAAGCTCCCTGGCTACAGAAGGAAGCTCTTGACTCTGCAGAAATGAAGCTTGACATTTGCCTATCCTCCATGTCCTGCAGAGATCTCAGGTGCCAAGACCTCAAAGAAGCTGCCAGCACGAAGTCAGATGCCGCATCACAGACCGACTGTTGAACACCAGCCACTTGCACAAACGCGTGCAGTTGCGGGCGCTGTGTGCTGACATGTGGGATGAGTGCGCGCTACATGAGGCTTAAACAAGCCTAAATTGCCTAAACTCATCAGCTTCCGAACCACGACTCGAACAAAAGACAACATGCAGGTCGCAGAGCTTTGAAGAGTTCAGGTCGGACGGCCTGCTTGGAGTGGCTTTCGTGGCTCACGCAGGGTCGCAGACTGACGCTGCTAGAGTCTAGAGCCTGAAGCGCAAACGCTTGACCTGGAATCTTGGGGTCACGGGTTGTCCCTGCCCGACTCCCGAAGTTTCTCGTAGCTTATGCTCGACGTTCAGCGTCGCCCCACATAGGAGGTACTTGCAAGCTTGCAAGCTTGGGGGACTCAAACAGAATACTGGCCGTTACTGGCCATTCTCATTGAGGCCAGCTGTTGTGCTGCGGGCTGACGTCTGCGATGAATTTTCCGGATGACATCCTTCCCGCGTCAGCATGGTTATCCGCACTGTTTCAACATTGTGTGAACACAGAGGATCTTGTCTGGGCAGCGGCCTTCTTTGTTTTGGAGTTGAGCTTGCAGAGGGCCGTTTTCAAAGTGAGGCAGTTTGTGGCGCCAACCATTTATGGCCTCTTAGAGTGTGGCAGCAATCACCAGAAGCGCAGATGCATGGGATAAGAGCCTGGAGGCCCTGAAATTGTTTGAACTCATTTTCCGACCCCTGGGCAAAGATGAGCGGAGGCAATGGTTTGTTTTGTTGCTACAGCTGCTCGGCAGAGCCACAGAGCCAACGCATCAAAAGCTCATTGCTCATAAGTTGCAGATCGTGCGGATGGCAGATTCGGACCCGACAGCGACTTTTGCAGAGGCCAGGAAGACGCTGAATGAGTGCATGCGCTCTCGATCTACAGTCGATGAAGTCAGTCGGCAGATCAGCATGATGCTGCAGTACTGAGCACCTGGCAATGCTCTGTTCAAAAGAGCTAATCTCTTCAGTACTGCTGTCCCGCCAACATGTGTACAGTTGCATCGTCAGGTGTAGATTTTGTTTCCGCAGCTATCAAAGTGCAAAACTGCCCGCAGCAGCTTAGGGGACATGCAGCTGGTCCTACATGAAGTTGTGTTGGAAGAAGCTGGGAACGACTTCCCTAAATGTCGGCTTGTAATTCCCGCTGAGCGTTAGCAGGCTCATCATTACGATGCTATCCCCTGCCAGGAGAGCTTCGTAATCAACAGCCACTGGCTCCGCAAGTGGAATCTTGCCAGTTGCTCTGTGAGTGATACAGCTGTATAGGAGGTTGTGAGAGCTTGAAATTAAAGCCTTAGCTGTGGAACGACCTGGCCCAAAGATGCCCACTGTGCACGCTGCAAAAGGCAACGGCAGCCACGTTTTTTGGCGGCAAATTGTAGGATCTAATCTTACTGGTGGCTAGGAGGGAGCGGGGGAATGGATCCTCTAGTAGTCCATATGTCCACCCAAGGTTACTCCGAGTGCGGTAAAAAAGTCTGTAGACAACTAATCCCTGAAAACAGCGACCATATCCTATTGCTTCATTCCCTAGTAGCTGCCAGTAAGTAATAGGAGGTTTCAAAGCCACAGGCCTTGCCACTGTTGCACATGCTCGCTGAGAAAAACGCGCTGATATGCGCTAATCATGTGGAGTTTCCCAAAAGCTGGAGATCCGTTTGCAGGGTCCCTACAATTGCACTTGTGTAATGAGAGGTACATGGGGACATCCTTTTCTTGGGCAACTCCCATATGACTGCATGAACGATGAAATTCTGCTAATTTCTGTATGTCTTGCCAAGTTGTTTGATCAGATCTACCGGCACCATGTGGCCACAAGAAGGCAGTTGCTATTCGTGTGGAACAAGGGCTCGAGGGGCAAACAGGGTGGTCCCAGAACCTTGCACCACCTTGGATATCGCCACCTCGCTCGGTTAATCCAGCAACTCGATTCGCAAATTTGTGCTCAGGGGTTGAGACGACTCAGATACTCGCAAAGCACAAGCAGGTGAACTTCCTCGAGAATGGGGAATGCTTCGTGGGAGCCTCAGATTGCTTGCTTACAGCCCAAGACGGAGTTGGCATGGCTGCAGGTGCTGCAAGTCGGACGTATCGCCAGACGTGCAGGCGACGGTTGACGCCAAGCCTGCCCTGGACTGCTCTCACGTAGTCACGTAGTGTCCATTTTTTCTCACATGGAGCATTTAGTTTTTCACGTATTGTGCTTCTAGGACAGTTCGCTGAAATCTTTGCCTGCTGTGGCTGGTGGGAAGACAGACAAGGAGCGCTCATTGGCCTGCCTGCTGCAAGACGGCAATCAGTATGCCTGATGATCATTCCGCCCCAAGGAGCGGCTCTACAGTATCAAGCTGGTGAAGCTTGGACCTTGGCAAAGCTGGTAGGGCCATTTGGCACTTTATGGCCTTGAGCACCAGGTCAGACGGCCTAAAACTTGGCTTGGACGTAGACTACATGGCAGAGCCAGCGGCTTAGAATCCAAGCAACTTTGGCGAGCCTAAGTCACAGCTACTTGGCCAAAGGCGCTCCGTGCTGCCGATCATGTCAGTGACCGGAGGCGTTGCAGAGTGCGGACCCTTGGTCATCTGATGCCCATCCGAGAGGCAGTGAGGCTCGCCTACTCAGGAAATGGAACCAGGAGAACCCAGATATTCAAATTCACAAGGGAGCAGCCGCCCCAGTCGAAAAGCACACCTCGCTGCGCGTTTGCCTCGGCAAACCCGTCTTCCAGGATAGCATCGTGGAGGTGAATGGCACCACCGGTCATCCTCCCAGCAGAATGTGATTCCGGTTGCTCGTGGTATCAAAGATTCACTTGACGAGTTCATGCAGGTGATGTCGCACAGATGCTTGACAAGTGCAAAACTGATGTAGAGTTGGAGCACGCATCTCAGAATGTTAAAGCAACGTCATGCCACAATCATGCCTGGCCTGCTTCATCTTGACTCGTGTGCATCAGTTCGACATCTTCAGGCAAGACTTTGGCTCAAAGGAAGGTCTCTTATGGCCATGACGAAGCAGCTTTGGGGTCTCACCAGTTTCTGCCTGGGCCTCCAAGCCCTGGCGCTTGGCCCAGCTGGTGGTGCATTGGAGCGGTTTCCGCCACAGACCCTCAGCTTGCACCTTTTTTCTCAAATTCTCGTGGTCAGAACCGTTCGCAAGATGGCAAGACTGAGGCTGTATAAGTCAGATATACGGACAGGAACTCTAGTGATTCTTGTGTTATTCCATGGAGTTTGTTTGCACTAGTGTTCCTGCAGCCAGGATCCTCCACACGCAATCCTACGTGGACAACTTTGACCTTTCAGTCACTGACCTTTTCAAGCAAAAGATCCTGATTTACAAATCCTGGTGGACAGCAGGCCAGCTGACCCAAACTACATGCGCGTTTCGTAAGTTAACTTGAGCAATTATGTGCCATCGGCCACTTGCGCTGATTTCCTTCACTGCTCAGTGGCTTATGCAGCAAGGAAGTAGCATGGAATCGAGCGAACCATAAAACCAGCCTCATAGCAGGGCCACAGATTACAACTTGCATGAGCCGATGACTTCATGTTCTGTTCAGGTCAACCCATTTTGCTGTTCTTTGGCGGGGAGGGGTCTGTTGAGAACTTCTACAATGCCACAGGTGCAATCTTTGAGCATGCTCAGGCTTTGAAGGCGATGGTCGTCTTCATCGAGCACCGATACTATGGAGAGTCCATCCCATCAGAGCCTGCCAATTTTCGGTTTCATCGGCTGACAGTGGAACAGGCTTTGGCAGATGTTGCTTGGTACCTGCATGGTCTTCGGAAGGACCTTCAGTATAAAGATCATGAGTGCGCTGTCATCACTCTAGGTGGCAGCTATGGTGGGATGCTGGTTGCATGGTTTCAGCAGAAGTATCCGCACCTGAGCGCAGGCGGTATTGCATCGTCAGCCCCAATAGATTTTTATCCCCAGGATGGCCGTCAAGATGCCTTCTGGGACGCCACTCTGCACACGTTTGAAGCCTTCGGTGCCCAGGGTTGCGGTCAGACTTTGAACGACGCCCTTGCGCTGCTCCGAAAAACGTCCACATCCTCGGAAGGAAGGCAGCAGATCACTCAGAGACTGGGGTCCTGCGACTCCTTGCAGGCAGAGATTACTAGCGGCAGTAAGACAGAGTTCTTCATCAAGGGTGCAGTGAGCACCCTTGCTATGCTGGATTATCCAGTTGCCAGCGACTTTGTAACAACTCTGCCAGCTAATCCTGTCAAAGTCGCTTGCCAGCGCTTGAGCCATCCGAATTTGTTGCAGGGGCTGCGACAAGTGCTTGACTTGTTCCTAAAGGCCACTGGCGGGTACCGCTGCTACGATTTCCTGGCAGAGATGGTCGGCCGGCCTACAAACGGGACACTGCATGGACCTTCCATTCCACCAGACATGGGGCCATGGCAGTATCAAGCATGCAACGAGTTGCCGATGCAATCCCTCACAACTGATGGCATGGGATTCTATCCCGCTGCTGACGACCAGATGTCTCAAATATCAGACTCTTGTCAAATGCGCTACGGCATTCGGCCAAGAACATCGTGGCTTCAAGTGAACTTTGGTGGTAGTGACCTTCACGTCGGTAATTTGTTCTTCACAAACGGCGAGAAGGATCCGTGGCGAGTTGGTGCACCAAAGCCAGAGAAAATAGCAAAGGGCCTGGACATTCAGCAGCATTTGATTCCCGAAGCTGCTCATCATGAAGATTTGCGCTTCGATAGCCTGCCACTTCGGCCAAAGGTGTCCGCAGCCAAGCAACGGGCATTGGCCCTCATGAAGCGCTGGATTCGAGAATTTGAGACCAAGACTCTAAAGGAGACTCAGTTTGTTCTGCTCCAATGACAAGTTCGAGACTTCGAGGCGGTTGGCCGCGGAGCCTCTAAAACAGCGAAACAAGCAGTTGCTTTATTTGTGACACCTGCCTGAATCAAAAATTGCGCAGCAGTGCGGAGCTGGAATTGTGTCCAAGGCTGACGTTGTGTCGCTGCTTAAACTACGACCACTTGGTGCCCTGACTCAGTTTGCAAAGTGTGCTTTGTGCTCTACTTTGCACATCTTTGTTGTGCCCTTCGAGCAGGACATGCATAGCATGATGAGGAGTCATGCTATGCAGCTAGCTTCTGTTTTGTGGTGCATTCCTGCTTGGCAGCTCCAGGTCGCTGACCTCGAAAAGCTGTTCGCGGTCAAGAACTGCGGGCCCATCATGTCGCCACCTTAAAGAGTGACGGGCCGATAGATGTGCAGCTTTGCTGCGTGCTGTCAGAGCTTGCTATGTGACATTTGGTATCTTGATTGTTCTTGATCAACTTCAGAGGCCCTCCTAGCAGGATCTACTTGATTGGCACTTGATCCCGTTTATGGCCGTGCTTGGTTTGGTCTCCTTTGTTTGTCTGTCACGCGTGTTGCGATGGCATGGTGCTCGTAGTCGTGGTTTTGGCTATGGCCATGAGTTGCAGTGCGTACGTACATTGCTGCTGTTAGCAGCTATGCAGAGGATCCGCCTATCCTGGCATGATGCCGGTGTCTACAATGGTGGCAGCCCCAGCACCAAAGGAGCAGTTGTGCTGAGAGAGGCTGACTTGATGCTTTTCTGGCTTGCCGGCTTTTGTCTCAGGCATGGACGGATGCCCAAATGCAGCAATGCGCCTGGCTGGCTTGAAGCCCAGCACATGCTGAAGTGCACGGTCGTTTTTCAGGAAGTGAGTTTTGGAAAAATGTTTGCAGTCTACGCCTGAAGCCCAAATGAGGCTTGCAGACTGCTGCAGTCTTCATAGTTTTAGGATGGGACAGATGTGACATACCAATAGGTGGCGAAATCGACTCGAAGGTGAAAACTGTTGGGCACTATAGTTTGCTTATATCCTGGTCTACACCCATAAATACCTGATACCTCTCAGGGCCCCTGACGTGCAACAATATATTTAGATTGGACCGATGCCCAGGACATCCCTGCAGGGAAAGCAAGTTGTCCCACAGTGCATTATCTTGCGGGGGTCTCAGCCTGAGGCAGTGGAGAACACTCGATGGCCGCCAATGCTGGACTGCTGGAAGCTGAGACTATTGATTCTTCCAGGAAGGACGGGCCTTGGCACTGAGCTAGACAGCTCTGCTCGGTATTTTCATGCAAGAAGCATGTGAGGCCACAAGTAGCACTTTCACTTCTCGAGCCAATCACAGAGAAGTGAGCCGCAACTGCATAAAAGCTTGTCTTACAGACCTGCCTTTTTTTGTTGCGTTCAAAAGCCGTCTTGCAAAAGGTACGTTCCGCGGCTAATTTCTCATGCTGACCTCTGGGCATTGGCTGCCAATGTAGCCATCAAGGCTCTCGAGCTGCACACCAAAAAAGAGATCGCAGGATGCCAGACTTGATTTGTCAAGCAGCCAGGCTATGGGAGGGCCAGAAATTCCGACCCGGTTCGGCCGGATCGATGCAAAGAGCCTAGCCAACTGCGCAAAGCTGAACGCAATCTGATGGATGTCAACTTTGCCTGCCCTTGACCCCCGCACGTATAGTATAGAGCATGTGTCCAAGGCTAGCCATGCTTCGGATGGGGTCCCGTCAGCTGAAGGGCGTCTGCCGGACTGTGCTGCGGGGTTTGTGACCAGATTAGCAGACGGACACAGTACTGATTTCTTAGGACAGGGCTAGCGCATGGGGGCTCTGTTCTCTTTGCCAAGCTGCCAGAAAGCATTGACAATGTAGATAAAGGGTCACTGCATACCCTTTGAGGCAAGCCTGCAGGGATGAGACGATCATGCTCATGAAAAAACCTATGGACGTCCTCCGACACATGATTTGGCATGATTGTAGAATTTCGACAGGCAAACAAGCATGTCTGCGGCTGATTTAATCTGACCGACGGAGCTTCGAACAGGACGGAGACAAGAGCGCGCAGCATATCAGGGACATCTTTGGCCCAAAGGCGTGGTCAGGCATGGTGATGCGCCTTTCCACCGCCGGAATTTGCAGGGCTTTGATGACCGTGACATGGTGGCACTATCGGGAGCTCATACAGTCGGGCCTGGCACCCAGCTTGAACGGGCATTGTCACAGTTTGCCCATCCGTGTGCATTCCGAGCAGCGAAGTCATATTGATTGCGAAGTAGTGACTAAGAACATGAAGCTTGGAAGTCGTGAGACATGCGCAAGCAAGTGGTCCAGACAGATGGCGCAGAAGCTGCGTGTATAAAGGATGTGCCATGGTGACCGCTCTGGATTTGAGGGTCCATGGACTGACGCAGCGATCCCAGTGCTGTACGTTCAGCATTGCAGTACATACATCACAGTTATGCTTGTGACCACCTAGCTACTGAGGACAAGCTTCTTTTTGACAATTCCTACTTCAAGGATGGGTTTGCATCCTGCAACCACCAAAGCCTGGCTGCATGAGATGCGTGTGGCCACTTCTGAAACGGCTTGCGCGAGGACTTGCTCAGGAAGACATGGGCAAAAGAGACAAACAAGCATGGAAAAGCCCAGTACAGGCAAGTTTGGGGTAGATCATGTTGCTCCCGGGAGTCCAGATCTTATCATTGGGCGGCAACATAGCAGTCACAGCTGCAAGCACAGAACATGAAAGCACAGATCATGTGATGACGGCAGGATCGAGAATCATGAGTACTTGGTACATAGCTAGCATTCCTACAAGAATTGTCCGTGCTCTTATAATAGTTGGCCACCATAATTTTCTCTTATGTTGCTTTTCCTGTTGCCAACTGATGGATATCAATTGCTTGATCGTGCTGCGTAGGTCTGGCGAAGCTATGATGCTGACCACAGCTGCAGCCCCAGCCAATTTGGGAGTGTCGAGTGGCGAGCAGAAAGCTTCTTCTCTGCAAATCCTTCCACGGGATCTCCATACCTGGTGCTCGCGTTTTACCCGCAACTTTAAACTTTAGGCCATGGCGGTTCGCAAGATGAGCTCGGGCCAATCTTGAGCGCAAACTGAGGACATGGCACTGCTGGAAGATCCAGCCTTCAAGCCTCATGCGCACATCTCAGACGGATTTGTACTGGACTCAAAGCTGCCCTTGATAGGGATGGGGGAAGAGCATCGCTGAAGGTGGAGAGATATGCTGCAGACCAGAAGGCTTGGTTTGACGACTTCTCCAAGGCCCAGCTCCACAACCAGCAGCCCATGCGCAACTGTGTTGGTGCATTTTGTTGAAAATGGGAGGCCTGGGTCCGTCTTCAAGAGTTCAATAGTGGCGGTGGGCTCAGGGCGTGCTCTATGCTGCGCTGCTGAGGTACCGGTTTTTGGGTCCTAGTAGAGATTGAACATATTCTTGGGGATTCCCTGCTTGCGTCACATTGGACATCTATTCTTACGTGGACATTTCTCTCCCGGACATTCAAGTGCTTAGGTGAGTTGCGCGACATTTTGTAAGGGCCTCGAGGCCAGGTTGCACCTCCTGAAAATCCAGAAGCTTGCGACCTCTCTGTTTCACTCTAGTCCTGGCCTATCACCCCACTGGCATTCGTGTGGGTGTGTGCATATCCATGTAGGGATTCAATGCATAACCCCAAGTGCTAAAGGCATTGGAAGAGAATGCTATACACGCACGCGCCCACATGCATTTGCATGCAAAGTGCCTCGGGCGCAGCTTCTTTTTTGGGAAGATAGACCAGACTGCTCAGATTGCTGCGCGGGTAGCTTGTACTCATGGCGTGACTTGTGTGGGTGCTGTGGGTAATGCCAGCAGACTCCCACGCAAGCAGATGAACCATGGTAACTTCGAAAGGCTTGAAATGCTGCGTTATGCTTTTGATTCATCTGCTCGGCAAACATTGTCACGGAACAGTCAGCAGTTGCAAAGCACGCAATAAAGCACTTCAGAAAGCCGAGTCTTTTCGTTGCAGCTTCGTACTTGCAAATGAATTGGTGCACTCGGCAAAGTCCGCACAAGGATCCACAAACCATGTGCTGGGTGGCCAAAAAGTATTTACCTGCTGATGGCTCCCAAATGAGCATGTCTGTCAAGTCAGCATGAAGGCGCAGGCTCAGAATCTTGCGCACGTCACAGTTCCTGCCGCCGCAACTCTGGATCGATGCTTTAAGCAGCACCGGTTGTTGCATCTTCCTCCGTGTCAGAGTTCTGTGCCCGCCTGGCCTGTTTTTGGACTTTAGACCTGCTGAGCAGTTGCTTTTGCTAAAGCAACCAAAGGCATCCTTTGCTCTGGATTCGGCGATGGGGAACACTGCGTTCCAGCCTTGGACTTCTGTACCGGAGGTCTCCAGCATCTCATTTTGAGTGCTTTGAGGTGCTGCCAGTCTTCTGACACCAGCCCAGATGCCGCTGCTGAAGCCATGCCTGCGATGGAGCGTGGCATAACATTTGCTCATCACGGTAGCGGTAGCGATTGTAGTTGCTTATGCCATGCTTTCCTTCTGCATGGCCGCTCTTCACAACTCAAACCCCGCATCGTTGATCTCGAAGGAGTCATGGCCAGCCAACCCAGGCAAGTCAGCACTTGTCGCTGCCTCAGCTCTCAGCCAACACAACTGACGAGGAGACTCTTGCGCTGTCCCGCGACCAAATTGACTGCCCTTGATGTACAGTTGTCACGGCGGCCATGACCTGCTGATTGGTCATAAGTCTGGTTGAGCATGCAGAAATCCAAGATTTATGGAAAGTTGAATCTTGGGTAGCGTCTTGCCGCGTGTTTGCCAAGATCAGGATGTGCCGACGGTTTCTGGCGGCAACACAGCAATGGAGAGAACGTACAAAGTGCGACTGGTTAAGCCGTTCCCTTACATTGCGTGACGCAACATTTTGGAACTGCTGCTGCATGAAGTTTGGCAAAAAGGGAGGTAGGCATTTCTCTAGCTACAGCGCTGAATAGCGCTGAGCTATTTCACTGAAGAGCTTCCATCGTCAGGAAAGAAGGTCAGAAATTGGGACTGGATGTGGACTACATGGCAGAGTCGCAGCCTGAGCTTTTTGCAGGCATGCTTCCAGAGCTGTGTGGCAAACTGCTGTCGGATCGTGCTTGCCCGCCCGGTCTTACAAGTTTCTGCAGAGCAATCTTACAGAATGCTACGCGAATTCCGGAGAGGGTTTGCAGGGACAGAGGGATTTCATGTTGCAGGGGTTCATTCTCCTGCAGAGCCAGTGATGAGGCGCAGCGTTCTCCCGATCTTGGTCATCTCTGGAGGGATTGCAGAGCTGGGCCCCAAGAGGGGATCATACACCGCTCTCTATGTTGATTGATGGAATTCCAAGTATGAGCCCGGAGGCAGTGGAACAAGCAGCACCCGGAACGAAAAATGAACACGGGTGTCGTTGCCCAAGTCTTTAAGCGGCCCACGAAGCTTGTGAGAAGTGTCTTGGTGCTCCAACTATGTCAGGATAGCATCACCGAAGTGAACGGCATCAAAGGCCAGCAGCTTAATTTCCACACATTCTGGCACAGCAGCCAGGTTTTAGAGGTGTGCCCTGGTGGCTTCAAATCTGCTTTAGCAGGCAATGTTGCGCTGATGCTGGAGAAGTGCAAGGCAGACCAAACGCTGGAGTTGGGCCCTAAACCAAAGTCATCTTCGAGCCAGTGGTGTATGGTAGAACTCTCAGGTTGACAGTCTGCAAATGTCTCACCTACGGACACCTGGCCCGAAGCCTGGCGAATACCACAAGTAGCTCTCTGACTTGGGATCCTTGTCACCATGCTGTCATCTTTGCAATGAGTTGGTTGCGTTCGTGTACGGAGAAGTGCAGAAGACAGATGTATGCGACGAAGATGCGAAGGTTGCTGACTTGGAGAAGCTGATGCTGGTGAAGGGATGCGGCCCCATTATGTTCGTATCTCAGGTTTCGTCCATGCATGTCCATGCACCATGCCTGTCATCAAGCAACGGAACTGCAGCATGAGAGCGAGCAGCAAAGGATCCGCTTGTCATGGCACGATGCTGGCGTTTTCAATGGTGCGCCTGGCTCGATTGCGAGCAAATTTTATTGGCTTTTGCTCTCATACAGAAACCGGCCCCCGGGCAACACGGGATCTTCCCCATACAGTACCACTTGATTCACAGAAGCGTATGAACATGTTTGCCACGACAAGTATCAGGGCCTGTGGGGTGGGTGCTTCCATGTGATATCCCTTGGCGATATGCACTGCAGGCTCTGACGGCTGCCCAAATGCTGCAATGCGTCTTGCTGGTGGCTTCCTCAGAGATTCATTTTCAAAAAGAGCTTCAAACCCCCCAGAGAAGAACGAGATGTAGCGTTGATAGTGCAGAAGTGGGCAAGAAGCTCGTGCTAGGCGGAGGTGAACATGCCTTCGGCGCAAATGCTGGCTTGCCGGGTGCTTACGAGTTTTCAAGCTGTGGCCAGCATCTTATTGGTAATCATGCAGGACAAGTCATTTATGGTGCTGGAAAAAGCAGAGGCATCTTGTCCCTGTTTGGTGTGGCCTAGGCCACAGGTGGCAATCCCCCTTCTGCAGGCGATCAGTGACAAGTGACCCTGTCGCAGAGCTTGCCATGGCGCCGAAACTGTAGAGTGAAAGTCTCCACACAGACACCCGCGCGACAAGCCAGGTACGTGCCGAAGCTGATCTCCCACTCGGACTTGTGGGCACTGGCAGCGAATGTTGCCATCAAGGCCCGTTCATGCATCACAGGTCAGCCAGTTTAGTGTTTCTCGGCTCTGACGACGGTGTCATGAGGTAATGGGAGGGCCTGACATCGTCACACACTTCGGCCGCATGGATGCAGGGTTCCCAGGACTTCCGTGCAGTGTAAGTTGAAGAAGTTAGGACGCACCAATCCCGGGCCTGCGTCTAGAGAGCAAAGCTATTCTCTTGAATTTCTGAAGGCCCAGTCACCCTCCGATGGTGCTACGTCTGCGGAGGGACGCCTTCCGGACAGCGGGATCTTGCCAACTGCTCTGGCGCACAGCCAGTCACGCCCTGTCTCCTCGAGGACGGCGACAAAGATGCTCAGCACCTTCGTGATATCTTTCGCCCAAAGGCATTTGTCCTTCAGCCTGTCTCTGAACACCTTCCTGATGCAACTTCATTGTGAAGCGCATCCTGGCAGGGCTTCTCCGACAAGGACATTGTGGCTCTGTCTGGTGCACACACTGTGGGGTCTGGCGCTGAGCTTGGGCATTTTATTGGACATCTAAGGAGCAGTCGTGCCCAAACAACGGACATCGCATGGAAGCTTGACATAGCACTGCAGTCGTGCATGGACTGACTGCAAGAGCTCCAGGGCCTGCCATGCAGACCGCTCCGGCTTCGAGGGGCCATGGACTGCGGCGTGGAGCTCGGATATTCAGGTGCTTGCAGAGCAAAAGAGTCTTGTTCAAAAGTCAGGACAAGCTCAAGTTTGACAACTCCTATTTCCAGGCCAGGGCTAGCCCAACTTTCTGGCAAGTCCTGCTGCGTGTTCCTGGATGCTAGAAACTGCTCGTCACAAGATCCATAGCTCGGCCTAGTAGCTGAGCTCAAAGATTCAAAGACCATAAGCCATGCAAGTGCTTGTAGGGCTCCTTCTCCCTCTCCAGTAAGCGCATGCCATCATTAAGGCTTCATGCTTGCCGCTTCAGCTTAGATCCTCTGGATGTCATGCAGGACCTCCTCAACAAGAACTGGACCATGGAGACTGTAAAGTCAGGGAACAAGCAGTACAGGTGGGCATGATTCGGCATGCCAACTTGAAAAGTTTCAGGCATGTAGCCCTGCATAGACTTAGAGAGTAGCTCCAAAAAAGCCGTGCTGGTCGAGGTCTGGCAAGGAGATGATGTTGACCACTGCCACTTCCTCAGGGATGTCTGCTGCATTCTCTTGGCTCGTGAGCATCACCTACAGGATTTCATTCGCCTGAAGAACGATTTACGACTCTTCAGGACATGGCCCTCGTTGAGGACCCAAAGTTCAAGGAGTATGCATGCGCCTTGATGTCCGGACAATGCAAGCCATATTTGATTTGTACAATGCACGTCTTGCGCGTCACCTAGGTCATGAAGTACGCGGCAAACCAGACGGCTTTCTTCGATGATTACAAAGAGGCGAGGGCCAGCTGGTCAGGCTGCATTGAGGCAAGACATACTGGCTGGTTGAGGGATGTTGAGGGAATCAGCGGAATCACAAAGTAGAACGGCCGGGCATCTGCGCAATTGTAAATTCCTGGATTCTGCTCCTCCAAATCCTTTTAGCAGGCGTGGGTCAAACTGCAGGAGCTTGGATGCGGTCCACGCCCCAGTTTCAATATCCACGGCAGCTACAGTCAAACCGGGCGTGGCTTGCAGTCCAGGATATCAAGTAGCATAATCTCGTTGCAACTCTATTCCCCACGCATCTTGTAACACCACCAAGAACTCGACCAAGGCCAGCTGCGTGACATCCTCTGAGGAATCTGGTGACTGGAACAGCCCTGGCTGCCTTGCCTTTTGCAGGCAGCTTCCGAAGTGGATTAAAACGGCTAAGTCGTGCAACGAATTTGATTGGAGGGGGATGATAGGAGATGCCGAGCTGGTGATAGTTGGGATGTCCTGGTGCATGCACGACCTGCTACCGTGGCAAAGGCCAGGTGAGGACACAACCTCCGTACTCCGTGCCTCATGGAGCAGACTTTTGAAGCAGAGTTGTGATTTTTGGGCTGCTAGTTTTAAGCCCTTAGTGGAGTTCTATTGTTTGTTAGCAATTGTCAGACAGGGTAGTTGGGAAAGACCCACGTCAAAACTTGACATCGATCTGTGATGGCGAGAGGCCTCAGCCTCCACCAGCGCAGCCCAAGGACAGATGGCAAGCAACCAGGTAAAAAATCGCACAGCCCACAAGACGGCCCAGCCGGTGCTGACAGCTACATGTTTGTTTGTGCCTTACTTCTAGACTATTTTGGACCATGCTGATGTAGAAGCTTTTGACGGTAATAAGTCCGCGCTCACTTACTGGGCCTTGCGAGTCAGAAGTTTGATCTGCCAGGGAAGGAGGCCTGAAAGGCTGTCCTTCCAAAACTTTTTTGTGTTGTAAGCATGAACCGCTCATGCATTCGTTTCGACAGGCCTTGACAGGGGACCCATGAAGGATCTCCAATTCTTTGTGGCAAAAGCCGCAATTAAGGCAGTCCTAGGTGCCTAAAGTTCACTTCAATCATGCTAGCTAGCCCAATTCTTGTTGCAGCCCTGATAAGTCTTACGGCTACCAGGTGGCACCCCACCAAGCTGCCACAAGTTCTCTCACCTGATCTTGGGGTGAGAGGCTCGTCTTTGGCGAGAGGCTGCTCTGCTTCGCACTGGCACCTGGTGTGCAACCCGCAGGATAAAAAGGTAGCCACAGCTTGATCCATTGTTGCCTCTTGCTTTGATTTTTGCTGTGTTTGTCTTTTGTTGAGTTGAACGTGTTGGGGTCGGATGATGTCGGATGCCGGCACTGGTGCAGTTTTTTTTTGTGGCTTGTTTGATGCGGCAGTTCTTCTCCTGACGTGAGTTTGGCCGGGTTGACTGACTTGACCTGGACTTGCTGCAGCATCATTTGTTCTTGTTGCCGGCGGCTGCTGTCATCTGCCGCATTGAAACGCTATGGTCAATATTGTTCCTTGCCGCCGCCTCGGCTGCGGCTGCTGCGGCTGCTGCTGCTGCTGCTGCTGCTGCTGCTGGTCCTGCGGTTGTCGCTGTCGCCCCATTGCGCTGCTAATCGTGATCGCTGCTAGTTGTTTTTCTTGTTTCTATTGAGTCATACGACATGTCCAGTCTAACACGTAGAAGTCAATTGAAGTCCTGCAAGAGGGGCGTTAAGGCTACGTGCAACATCGCGCAACAATGCAAGAGATAATCTACCGCAACGCGCTTTGTCCATGGCCGTCTTGCGGGTTCAAGGTGGGTTGTGGGTGCGTAGGTAGAGCCGCTGCCTGCGCCTCACAAGGCCAGCCTGCATGCCCTTCAGCCTTTCATGTTTGCAACATTGCGGGCTCTTTTAGGGTACCAATCCTAGTCCGGCACCTAGGACTTTTGGGTGCAAGAATCGGACCCCAATCCTGCAATTTTTGAATTGGCCCACATAATTACTCAGGGGCAGTTGGCCTTTGTGCTTTGCACCTGGCGCAGGTTCATTTTTCAAGGATCGCCATGGGCAACACGGCGTGCACGACTTAGTCGAGCTGTGCGCATGTACCTCGTGTGGGGTGTAGACCCCTGTTTCCTCGTTTGCAGTAGTATATTCTAAGCGCTTGCGCGTGTCCGCCTCGGCAGCCGGGCTAGCAAGAATCGCAAAGCAATTATGTTTGGCAAGGCTTGTGGTGGGGGCGGGGCTGGAAGGCGCAGGCTGCAGAGGTTGGTAAAAAAGTAAAAAATAGGATGGCCCCCTGGCCAGAATCCTGGGGTCCAGAAAGCGTGTCATGGGTATGAGTTTCTGAGGGACCCAAGCGGCCGGGTGGTTAGCCGCACAATTTTGAGTGGGGAAGAGGGAGAAGGCTGGATCGGGGTCAGCTTGTTCCAGACGGTTGTCGGTGAGAGGCCGAGGCGAATCAATCGTTATCCCACAATCACCTTGTTCTGTTTGTCAACGAGGTGCTGTCAGTCTGAAGCCAACGATGGCGTTGCTGACGCACACGTGGATGCCAAGCCCATTCTGGACCCTAGAGCAGCCCTTCCGGTTTGTCATGTCCGTCCCCACAACATGCACAGCGATGCTGTGCAATCGCAGGAAAGTACCATGCCAGCAGTGCCTTTCATCTCTGGTGGTGATACCGAGCAGGCAGTGGAGCAGAGGTCACAGGGCAGGGCAGAAGCTGCTGCATTATTCCGGCTAGGAACGGGTCTATAACGTGACACTTTCAAAGCCTGGAGCCTACAACTTGGACCGGATGACTTGGCTGCCCTGCTACCCTCTCCTGAAAGGTCTCCCGGACAAAAGCTGGGACTGGATGTTGACTACATGGCAGAGCTGCGAACCAAGAGGGCAAGCAGAAAACTGCCGCAGAAAGCTATCCCATGAGTTATTGTATAGTTTGTGCAGGAGCTAGGATGATATGAGACCAGACTGCAGGAGAAAGGTGCTGCCTATCATGCACGTCACAGGAGGCATTGCCGAGCGAGAGCCTCAGTATTTTCGCCTGTGGCCGTTTAGTGGTGGGACCCTGCACCTGGTAGAAGGATTTAGTCAAGCGACAGAAGCCATGCCCAGGGAATGGAACAAGAAGTGTCCGGACAAGAAGCTGAACAGTGGTGATTCTTGGATCTTTATATTGGCACGATACGGATTCCTGCAAGCTCGTCGGGCCAGCTTGGATGGACTCAGGACAGCATTTTGGAGGTCAACGGCGTTTCAGGCCAGCTGATATGAGCTATAGTCTAAACTCCTTGAGGAGGGTTATATAGGGGGTTATATAGGGAGTATTATAAGGGTTATTAAGGGGGATACCACGAGAGAAGACAATGGCTTATGTGTCCGATTGGCTTGTTCAGCCGATATGTGAACAGGGGATGTGGTAGAGATGCTCGAGAGATGCAAAGCTGACGACACGCTCAAGCTGGCTTCCCAGGAGTGTGCTACCCTGTTTTCTTGGAAAGCAGAACTTCAAAACTTCGCAAAAAGTGACACGCAGTGGCCATGCATGTGTGAACTGTCTTGACTCGATGTTGCAGTGGCTGCCAAGGATGAAGCTGTGTCGGTGCTTGACCTACGAGCACCTGGCGGCACGCTTAGAGTTGGACAGGTTTTGCCAGGATGTCATGCTGGATGGCAGTGAGCCGCCAAGCGCTTCCTTTATCTCTCGCGGGAGAAACTGCATCGTGCAGCATGCACAGGTCGAGGACCTTGAGAAACTTGTCAGAAGAAAAGAATGCGGCCCAATCTTGTACGGACCTGAGCAAGCAGTCCGACGTGAAGAACGGAGATTAGTACAACTTTGTCCAAATGACTGGCGACCTGCAAGCGGAAACATAAACGCAGTTCTGTGGTAGAGTCTTAGTGGAGGTTGCAACAAGCAATCGCGTGGTGCAGATTGCCTTCCAGCGTCCAGCCCGTGTTTGGTCAGGGTGCGGCTTTCCTGGCACGATGCCGGTGTCTTTAACGGTCTGCCCCCCAGTCAGACTTTTCATGGATACAGCCTTGGCATCTCCAACGAGCTGTTTCCTCACAAAGGGAATATGGTTTCAGAATCGGGGTGTGAGGAAGCCTCAGTTGAATTCTACTTCAGTTGCTAATCTCAAATTACATGGTTTTGGGATCTTTCCCTCCCAGTAGGAGGTCACCCCACACACCCCTCGATCCATGCCTTTAAAAAGGATATCCATGCGCTCAGACCTCCTTTGGGCTACCCATGAAACTAGGCTCTCGTGGACATTCCTTTGTAATTTTATGCTTGAGCATGTGGTCTCGGGCAGAGGCGCAGATGGCTGCCCTAATGCCGCCATGCGACTAACTGGTGCTTGCCTCAGCACGTCCGGCGGCTGTGACTGAGATCTTTCAAAGCATGCAGCATTAGAAGAGGTGGAGGTGAGCACGCATTTCCCGCGAATGCTGGCCTGCTAGCATCCCGGGTACTGGCAACAGCCGTGCTGAGTTTGCAGAGTTCGTCCTCTTGCTCGTGTGGAAGCCAGGCCGCAGGTAGCTATTCCCCTGCTAGAGCCCATTGCCGCGAAGTGAGCCCTGCTCCAACGTGTGTTTAAGGGGCGTCTTTGTGGTTAAGCATGATCAGGATATGACAGCTAGTTTTTCATGGAAGTATGGGGGCACTTTGCAGTGCTGCTATTGCCTGCAGCTTGTAAACCCCCGCACGGTCCAGCATGTCTTTGAGCACCGTGTCAGGTACGTGCCGCTCATGATCTCTCACGCAGATCTGTGGACGCTAGCTGCCAATGTGGCCATCAAAGTGATTGGCTCAAGTTTGTGTATTCAGTTGTCTTGTGGCCTCTGGCGACCTCGCAGCGTTCCTTGGGATTGCTCAACAACGTAGCAAGCGAGCATCAAATCATTGCACGTGCGCCGGCTTCAAAATCTCAAGGCCATGGGAGGTCCATGGGTCACAACAAGATTTGGGCGCTTGGATGCCAAGCTCTCAGGTTCTGACATGGCTTCAGCCAAACATGCAAAGCTTCCTATCATGGGGTTAGGTGGCTGTCCTTGCTTTTAAGGGATTGCATTCGAGGGATCTCCGCGTAAACTGTAAACAAGTAAACCGGAAGCATTCAGACTTGAAGCAAAATCTCTGGAGGCCAGTCATCATAGCGAAGGCACGTCTTCAGCGGCTGGCCGGCTTCCGGACAGCGCTGCAAATCAGATGGCAATGGTGAGATGTCAGAAGGCTCATTGGTAGTTTTGTACTGACATTGGCCTTCGTCACTGCAAAGGCTGCGTCTGCATGTGCAGCAGCCGTGCAATGTGTTGGCTGACAATGCAAGTGTGCATGTTCAAGGCGAGTCCAAGCCGATAAACAATGCCTTGCATCCTGCATTGAATTGTATTGAGAATGCACTAGAAAGCAGCGGTGGGAAGTGATATGAGAATCCGTGGTCCATGCCTTTAAAACACACGGGCATCAACGTGAGAAGCCTCAATAGATGAGCACTGCTTTTGATCAGCGCGCTTGCTACCACTTGAATCAATACCGCCTTGAATCAATAGCATGGCCTGATGATGATGATGATGATGATGATGCAGGATTTGATGTCCCTCAAAACTGCAAGCGCTGTAACACTAGCAGTGAAAAGAAAACGCATTCACAAGAATCGTTTCCCGATTAACCGACATACTCCAGCTGCAGGACGGTGACAAAGAAGCGAGGCATCTTCGTGACATTTTCTATCCCAAGGCGGGCCCGGCAAACTTCTCGTCTGTGTGCGCTCGAGGGTCAAAGAAAATACCTTCTGTCTTGATCCCAAGGGCTTCGATGACAAAGCTATCGTCGCCCTCTCTGGGGCCCACACGGTGGGGTCGGCAGCCCATACCTTCGGAGAAGCTGCTGGGAGTTCGGTGTCAAAACATCTGGGTCGTGATTGAAGTAAAGTGCACGTTGTTGCTGGAAGCGTAGCCGTCCAAGAAGGAAAGTGGCCTCCATGAATCAACCGCCCAATGTGAATTCCTGAACTTAGCCCCGGTAGATGGAATCTCCTAACCTTGGGTATGCCTTTTCTTCCGGCACTTCATGTTCCAAAGCTATGGTTGAGTGTTCCTTGCCCAGGAGTTGCCACTTAGACCGCTCTGGCTTTGATGGCCCATGGACAGAAGCTTGAGCCCTAGTTCCTGTAATGACTAATCTTGGACTCTGCAAGCTCTTTGTGGCTCTGTCAGAAGGAGGCATGTTATTTTGCTTCTGTCGGTTCTTCATGTGGAGTGGCTGCACTAGAGGACAAGCTCAAGTTTGACAACACCTACTTCAAGGCTCGGTTTTGTGATTTCTGCTTGCTCATCAAAGGTTGAAGCATCACTGCGTGAGCCATGGTTTCACAACAACTCCCTGATCCTGGCTAAGACATCTCCGATAGATGTAGATGCGTCACCTTCACATATCGCATGCAGCTGTTGTACCATACATGGCTGTTCATGCAGATGTGACCTAGCCCTGTCCAGTAGACAGTGCCCCTGTGGAAAATGTACACATCTAGTTTGCACTTAACGGCATCTTTGCCGGTGCTGCAGGACCTGCTGCATAGAAGTTGGTCCTCGGAGACCACGCGCAAAGGGAATCCTCAGTACAGGCGCATGACTGCTTTCGTTGTTGAATGATTAAGAGATCCAGGCTAGCTAGCAAAGATTGATCGGTTCTACCGGCCTGTAAGTTTCAAGCGCTGACGCAACGGAAGCAAGTCCATAGTTGCAGAGGAACTGCAATTAGCAGTACTTGCTAATCATGCTTCCAGTTGTTTAAAGTTTAAGAGCAACAGGTGCCCGAGACGCGTCAGCAGTAGCAGTAGCGCCAGCAGTAACGTCAGTAGCACCTGGCAGTTATGGCAGTGTTGGCAGGATGAGTGCAACTCGTGGTCAGATAAAAGGTAGGGTATGCTAGTTTTTACCATTCCCAGTGGCCAGCGAGAACACATGATCATAGGTGATAGCCACAACCAATATGTTGTTAAGCTGGGCGAGGGGGCCCCCTTCCGATCTTGGATGCAGGTGTGCGGAGACCAAGACCATGATGCTGACGACAGTGGAACCCTTACCTGAGCGCCTGACAAATTGATCGTTCTTGTAGTTTTAGTCTGCAGTCAACAAGTCTACACTAGACGTGTGCTGTTTTTTGGCACACAGCACGTACAACGGTAGCGGTCACCGCCGCCGCCACTGCCGCCGCAACAACCGCCGGCTCCACCGCCGCTGCCGCCGTGGCTTGCACTCTCGTCGGGGATTTACGTGGGCATTCAGCAAAGTTGATTGGCTCAACATGTTGGGTGGTCCCCTGTTATTTTCAAGCTTCGGTCATTGCAGTTAGCATGTGGAGTGAGTCAGGGGCGGTGGTGGCGGTGGCGACGGTGGCAGTAGCGGTCGTGGTGGCGGCGGCGGCAGTGGTGGTGGCGGAGACACCTGCGCTGATGGCGGCAGTAGCAGTAAAGAAAGCAGCAGCAACAGCCGCACACAGCAAGAACCAGCCGCAGGAGCACGAGTTGCCCGCAGATTGCAGGAGTAGCCGTGGTGAAGCATGAGAGAAGTAGTAGCACTGCCGCCGCTGTCAGTGTTGAAGTCTGCGTTCTACGCATGTCAGCGTTTCCTGTTGGTCATGGTACTGGCAACCGCTGTTGTAGTAGTGATAGCCACGGCCATGGCTGTAGTGATAATTGCTGTGATAGTGGTAGTGAGGTGTTGGTAGTGATGGTGGCAGTCCTGCTGCTCCTAGTGGTAGGAGGAGTAAGCGGCCCAGAATGTCTTGGACATCAAGGGCTGCTCCGCGCAACATCAACGGCGCCCACGCTGCTTGCGTGAAACTTCTCGGTAGCTCCAAGGACATGGCTCTCGTTAACGATCCCGACTTCAAGCGATATGCCTGGAAGCCAAGCCATGTGAGTCTGCGTTGAGAGTCGAGATTCTTTTTTCGGGCGGCCTCCTAGTCTTATTGGAGGTACTGTCCATCAGGGGTTTCTCAGTGGAGAATGTGGGCAAGGGCTTTTGTACGGAAGCAGCTGATATGGTTTGCCCGAGTTGCCTGACTATCAACACTGAGGTCATTCAGTTCGCCGACGATCAAAAATCCTGGTTTTCGGAGTTCGACAAGGCAGATAAGCAGGGGAAGGGGAGGTGGCAGGGCAGTTTTTTCGGGGGCACATTGCGCTTGATAGATATTGATAGACGGCATCTTGAATCAATGCTTTGGTAGGGAGCACCTGCCAGGCTTGGGTACGTTTACAAGAGCTCGGTTGCAGCACAAACCTCAGTTGCAGAAGGCTGTCTGCAGACTGTCAGGTTGCAATGTGTGCAAGGTGTGGATGGGAACCCGGAATACAATTTAGTTCAGATGTCCTGGTATCATCTCAACATCTCGCTTGCTTGGCCAGAGCCTTGGCAAGTAGGAAACGCTTGCCAAGGCGAGCTACGTGACGTCCTCTAATGCCTTCTGAAAGGAGGCTCGTCAGCTGCCAGCTGGTCTGAGCCGAGAGATGTTTGAAATGCGCGGTTCCTGTCGTGGGCTGCCGCCACGCCACAAGAAAGCGTCACAAGAAGCCAGGCATCAGCGTTAAATGCTTGACATGTTCGGGCCATTGTGGCTTTGCCCACCGCTCGCTGCAAAGGGTCAGCTTGTTCTGGACACTTGTTCACAGGCACAGCCACCCGAAGCTACGGTGCCAGTTTCGCGTTTTCCGGATTCCTCGGTGCAACCTTCTCCGAAAGAGAGAGCTTGTTGGCGCAATGCTGGATGGGTTTTCAGCGCGGCTTCGTTACATCCCGCAAAATATTGCACACTGATAGTTGCATTGCGCAGCAGCCGCAGGAGTTGCCCAAAATAGAGTTTCACTCCGGTTGCCCTCCCCGAAATGTCGCAACATATGACTAAACACTGTACTGCACTGTTGGCGACGGTCGGCATCCGGTGTTAAGCATAAGGCTTACCACCATGAGTTCACCTGACAAAGAACATTGCCTGTTGGACAGGTTCCACGACGCTTTTTGGGAAGCATTTTTGCTCTTGAGCGCCTTAGAGTTCGAATCATGTGAGCACCTACTGTTTCGAGCGACTCCTGTCTCAATTCAGGTGGTTTCTGACAAACCTGTCATAGCCATTGTGCTTTCGGTGGGCCAGCGGACAATCAAAATGCTGATGTCGCAGAGTGTTGCCACTGAGTCAAAGTTGGGTGGAAGTGACCAGCTGGAGGTATGGAGCAGTCTTGCTTGATGTTGGAACATCCTGCAGCTTGCAGATGACAAGACAGCTGAAAGCACTACCGTACAGGCCACACAGCGCAACTGCACTTCAAAGGTAATGCAACCTCCAGCCTGTATGGTACACAGGTGCTAGGAGATCACTGCCATGCAACCTGAGCTCCCGCAGCCGTGTGCGTGCCAGCGCAAGAGGCGACTTCTCAAAGTCCGCTTGCGCATGTGTTCTGAGCTTTTCCGTCGAGCCTGAGGTTACGTTTTTGAGTTGTGAAGTGCAAAGCAGAAACACGAAGCCCTGTGGCTCTGTGGATAGCTATGATTCTTCTTTGCAACTACAGAAGGGGAGGTCGTTGCATTCTCTGGCATGTTTCTGCCAGGTTTTGTACACACATTTGATTCATTGATGCTATTCCAAGTCCATGCTTGTCAAATAGCAACTTTTGTAGTTGAGGGCTGTGCTGGCATGCGTCACGGCGTGCTCTGCCGAAAGGTCGCATGAGCCGCACCAGCGGCGCAGTAGGCGTTGGCACTTGATTCGCGCGATTTAGGTGAGAAGTTGAGTGACAGCTTGGCGGAGTGAGGGGGTCGGGGTCGGCGAAGAGGAGCCGTAACGGTAACGCGAGAAGATCAGCTTTTTGCCATTCTTCCGTCTAGGTGCTGCCGCAGTATCGCCCTTGTTGCTTTGGGAAGTGCCGCTGCGGTGCAGTTGCTGCTGAACAGGAGCCTCGGCAGGACGACTCTGAAGGATGCATTGCTCGACTGATTCAGCCAGGACCAGCATCGTGGCCTTTCAAATGCCGCTAGCGTCCGATACCTAGCCCCTCTGAGCTTTTGCATGCTCATGGTGAATGGTTGGGTCAAGAAGACCTTGTTCAGGGCGAAGCGCCGCACAGCAATTTCAAGTATGGCCAGCTTGGTAGTGACAAGCTCAGAGTGTGTGATTTTCCCAACCTTGTATTTCTCAATCCATGCAAGCTGTCAAGTTGAACTGCCAGGCAAGTCCCATCGGCCCTGCCGCTTTCTCAGTGGATAGGTAGGCACTAACTGATCCATTTTGGCAGTGAATTCTTCTGCGATGATGCGTGGCAGAACCTGCCGCCGAGGGGCATTTTTGCGAAACACTTGGATTTGCTTGTGCATGAGGCCCACGCGCTAGTTGGCTCGACGCTGCCAGTAGCTGAGGGTTAGGCGAAAGACAGAATAAATGTCTGCGCTCGCAAAAATCACAGACAGAAGCCAGCTGAGGTCGCCAGAGATAGAGGAGGCAGTGCCCAGACGTGCCCTATGACAGAGTGTCCGTGTTGAGCATGTGTGTGTGTGTGTGCGCGCGCAATTGTGTGCTTTCATTGCTCAGACCCGAATTAGCAGAAGCTTCGAAGACTATGCGATGCAAGGGTATGTCTGTTGACTGCAGCAACAGGTGGTACTAGTTTTTACAGTCAAAGAAACATAGACATGTAGCCATGTTCACAACACAAGGACTTGGACTGTTGGCATCAATAATATGGTTTTAGTGCAGTAAGTTTACCTGAATGCTGACTCAACCCTAATTGCATGGTAGGCTGCGCTTCTTTTGCATGCAAGTTAATGGAAACTGCACCTTCCGCTGAAGCCACCCGCTGAAGCGGGGGTGGCTCGGCATGGCCTCGCTTGTGAGTGCCAGTCCCTGAGTCCAGAGATGCGGAGCATAGTATACCATATTAACTAAAGTATAAAATATATTCTACTATGCTATATTCTATTACAATATTCAAGTATATTATACTTCATCATACTACACTATATAAAGTGGTTGTCAAAATATTCTCTACATTTTAGGGGCCGTAGTATAATTGTGGCCAAAAATGACGCGCAATTTGACAACCTAGCACATTGGCATGCGCTGAATGACTCCCGTTCCTACTGTAGTGATGAAAGGTACTCCTCGTATCCACCTTGCTGACAGTCTCGTTCCAATTAGAGGTCATTGTACTATTGTTGTCCCAACTGCAACTATTGCGACTGCTGTCATCAGTGTTTCTTTGTTGATACTATCACTGTGCTTGCTATTTGGTTGCTGTTGCCACTGGTGCTACCGCTGCAGCTTGGACCATCCCAGGTGGTGCTGCCAAGCTCCGGCAACTGGAGTTCACTGGCACGCTCCTGGGTAAAATGTTTAAGGTTTCTGAACCGCATTGCAAGTCATGAGCTCCTTCTGGAGGTTGGTAGGCTATGTATAGGGATATGCGTAGGGAAGCGTGTGCATCTTTGCATGGGTTTTGCATGATTTTGATATTCACAGCAGCTGAGAATCTCTTAGCATGATTTCTGCATAGCCCGTGAATAAGAGAATCTCATAATACATCTGCTTCTTATGATCCCATATATCCTTGGGGTCCTAGGCGTCCCCTTTTGAGAACCTCCCAAGTTTATCGACAGTAGCCCAGGCTCTCAGCTGGAGGTCCTGCAGTCATTGGCCAGCTTGGCAGCACTCAGACATGTACCGCATGGTATGTTTTTGATGTTCCTTGGAAAAGGAGAGCATGTCAGTTAAAGAGATGGGCTCCCACCACTGCATGCTACTCAAGCTCGGTGCCAACTTTCTCAGTGAGAAGAGTATTTGGACTTTATTCACCGCGCCTACACGACCAATGTATCGTGAAGTCAAGAAGCAGTGAGAAATGTCTTTCCGGCCAGCCTTATGCAATCCCTGCAGAACCTCGCGTCTTCATCAGGTAAAGAAGCATTTGGAGGATCCTTCGCTTACTGATATTGCAAGTCCTGACCTTAGAAGAACTTGGGCTTGAGACATGTGGGGCCATCAGGGTTCATTGGGGATTTCGTTCGGAGTGAATCGATCCTTGTCGGATTGTGCGCAGCGTAGATAGCGATATCCGATAGTGATGACATACTCTTCTTGAGTCAAACTTGCCACTCACGTTAACGGAAGCAACAGGTGCGGATGATTTCGCGCTCACGTCAACAGAACGCCGCGCGCCTTTTCCAGGGTGTGCAGCGCTTGTAGCCGCTAGAGCGAACTCTTTGTCGGGCCTCTTGAGCAGTATTTGATTTTGGGGTATAGTGGTCCTCAAAATAGAGAAAGATTACTTCCTCCTTGTGTTAAGCCACAAGATACTGTTGATTTGGGGCTTTAGTAGGGGAAGAATCGGATTTTGCGAAGTACCCAACTGCGCGTTTCGAGTCATCAGCCTGAGTGTATCCGAGCATCCATAGTCAGATTCTAGCAGCCTCAAGCCATCCCTGTTCGAGGCGGGATTCCGTCCTGAACTTAGCAGGTGCAGCACCGCTGCCAACAATACCATTACTTGCTGACCGTCGGTGGCACCTGTTCTGATATGTTTTGCGGGCTCAGGAGATACGAGCATTCTCACTTGGTTGCCGCTTTAGATGTCATTCTGGAGTATCAGCGCCGCTGTCCTGCAGTTTGTTTGTGTCAAGTCCTTTTGGTGGGAGGGTGGCCTGGAGCTTCGTAAACAAGTCAAGCTTGACAGCTGGGAGATGCCCATGTGCCTTGAGGCAGTGAAGCCTCCTGTACACAGTTTCCTCAACAATTCCTGATGGTGAAGAGTGATAATGACATGTGGTGCCGAAAAGTTAGCCAGTCTTTGTTTCAGGAAACCGGAAGACTACCTACTTCACGGTTCTTGGGACTCGTGCACAGACGAGGACTGGGGGATCATGACACATCCCTCTGTCAGAGTGGATGTAAGTGTTCTCAAGGGCGCATGCTCTTGAGTGGGTGGGATTGCTGAGTGCAAGACTGGGAGACGCTTCCACACACCCCTGAGTTGAGTGTTTCAGAATCCTTGAAGTGCTTTTTGCATGTGAAAGTTCTCAAATTCACAGCCCCTGTGAGTATTGGAACATATCGACATGATCCTCGTACCCGGCTTATAGAGCTCCTGAAGCGCTGGCTGCGGACGCATGCTGCCAACCCAAATATCACAGAGGACGAGGCTTGTGTGAATTTGTTGGGAAGAAGCTCTCACGAAGATGTGGCATGAGTGTGGGCTGCTCGAGGGGCTCGAGCGATGTCATCGGTCAGGTCCGTCGCATGTGCGGGCTTTGCCGTGATTTGCTGAACTATCCGAACCTGTTCCCATCGAGAAACAAGCCAGTCACCCAGTGCCCGGTTCCATTGTGTCTTTGGTATGACAATGCAGCCAACAAGATGAGTCGTTGCCTTGCTAAGGACTAGCTTCATGCATGCGCTGAGCAACTTGTCATGACTAGTAAGGAGTTTAATTAAGGTAGAGGAGAACCAGGGCCCAAGCTAGAATGCATATTCTTCTGCTTTGAGCATCCAGACTTTTTGCATGCGGGTGCATGGGCTTGCTGCGTGCACTCGGCTCAGCGTTTGCCGCGTTTTAAATGTAGCTGTGACAGTAAGCAACTTCCACAAAGTTTAAGCAAAGTCGGAAATGCCAACAGCCTGTCCACTAATGTTAACATTACGAAGCCATGACAGCTACTGGGTTTCTTAACCTTACACTGCGGAGCTTGCTCCAGCAATGCCCGACTCGCATGCGTCAAGCAGATCACTTCGGGTGCAGCTGACCTCGCCAGAAGCGGGTAACGACGTGGAGCGTTTCGGCCGGCTGCTCAGGTTTAGTAGCCCCGCACGTGTAGATTTCCGTGTTTCTGGTTGTCTTGACTGATTTGGTGCCAACAATAGGACATTAGAAGCTGAATTGCAGAAGGGTTTATTGAAACGGGATCCTTGGTCGTCAAAACCAATCAATGAGAAGCACAAGTAGCAGGAACTCACCGCATGGTTCTTCCCACCCAACCCGAATATACTTGAGTTGAAGATGTCTAGAAAACAGGCTACGAGCCACCCGCACGAGTCGCCTATCCGCCGGTGATCGAATGCATCAGAGGGCAAGCGTTCAATTTGTTTCTTGTCGTGGTTTTTGCGGGGACAGCAATATGGATTGCAGTTGCGTGGATCCAGCTGGAGCATGACGACACGAAGAAGAAGAGCCCAAGCGGTATACCCGTCGATTTGATTCCCCTCATCAAGCTCTTATCTGTGCCGCTGGTTTGCCTTCTGTTCACTTGGTTTCACGTCTGGCTGGCTTTGCAAATGAATCTTGCCTTCTTGTTAGCTGTACATGAAAGCCACTCGTGGACTTGGCTGTTTGGCAATTTGCTGGGCTAAAGCCGATGCTGCAGGATGTTCTTCCCCATTGAATTCGTGGGATGCCCTCGGCGGCCTATTGTTCCGAGCTGGCTTGGGCTCCCCATCAACGGCTGGCAGGTGGGATCTGCACCTTTGGCAAGCTCTGAATGGATTGTGTAAGGACTACAGTGGCTACAGGGATTCATTCCCTCACACCCTCCAAAGCACCAGGAAGTAAGCCTGCTCAACCAAGACCAACGTTGCTGCGGGGAAGATACTGAAATCTAATGACCTGAGGCAGTTGGCGTTCGAATGTAGGTGCAGCATGTAGCAATGCAGCATTGCTGATAGATGTGTTGCCCAAAGCTAATTTGAAAGTGCTTTCGCGTAATAGTATTTGTAGAAAGTTATTGACAGCATGGAAAAACACAGTGTCTGTAGTTTCCATTTCATTTTCCATTATCCCAATATAACCCCTATATAACCCCTGACTAACCCAATTAAAGCCCCTATCTAACCCTAAACCTTGTTGTCAGGGCATTGTGCCACGCAAAGCTGGTGTTATGGCTCGACGCGCTACCCAAAGGATGTGTCTCTACTGCAACTGAGAATCAAGCAGAGGGTGGCAATTCATATTGGGGTTATATTGGGGTTACATTGGGATAATGGAAAATAAAATGGAAACTACGGAGCAAGAGTTGGAATTGAAGTACATGGGGCTGGCTACCGACTACTTAGTAGTTGGTATGTGTAGGGAAATCTGTTTGCAGGATCGGGAACCTGGTCACTGTCGAGGAGTTTATGGACCGGATTGACCCCAAGCAGTTTTTTGACGCCTTGGAGGAGCTGATGGGTGGCCTGTGCTTCCAGGTTAGGCTTTCCAAGACTGGTCCCTGTTGGGGGTGTCCTAACATAAAATCCCCGCTTCTTACAAGTAGAACACACTTTTGTCCATTGATTTTTGGAAGCAGGTTCTGGAGAAGATCATGATGAAGAGGCTGCCTACAGTGTGGACGGCGCTCCCAAGCTCTGTACAGAATGAGCTAAAGTTGAAGGTCCTTGAGGACACCAAGCAAAGCTTTGGCAGTGCCATGCTGGACCTCAAGAACAACATCAGCTCAATCCTCGACTTGCAGGAGATGTCTGTTGACACTTTTGTCAACAATCCTCGGATGATGGTAGACATGTTCCGATCCGTGGCGTTGAAGGAGCTGGTATTTATTCAACGTGTTGCAGCAGTCATGGGGTTCATTCTGGGACTTGTTCAGGTGATCTTCTATGTGATGCTAAAGGATCTCCCCGGCATGGATTATGTGATGTTGCCTGTATCTGGGCTGATCATCGGCTACTTCACCAACCTCTTGGCATTAAAGATGACCTTCAGGCCAGTGTGGCCACACCAGTACTGCAATGGCAGAGTCAACATACAAGGGGTTTTCTTGAAGCGGCAGCGCGAAGCATCTGCGAAGATGGCAGAGCTGATCTGTAGAAACGTTGTCGACGCTAAGGCAATGCTTAACTACATGTTGCGATCACCCTCGTCCACCGGAGTGGAAAAAGTTTTAGAGATTTATCGAAACCATGTAAACCGCTCGGTGGATAACAGTGTGGGCTTAGCGAAGAAAATTGCACCGGAACGGCTTCTGTCGCAAATAGACGAGATGAAGCAGGATGTGATTGACTTCTCCTTGGAGCTTCTACCGCAGCATTCCAGGGCGATCGAAGAGTACATGGACAAAACCATGAACGTGCAAGAGACCCTCACTTGGCGCCTTTCACGTATTTCGCCACCGGAGTTTGAAAGTATAATCCACCCAATATTTCAAGATGACGAGTGGATTCTGCTGGTGGTTGGAGGACTCTTAGGAGTTGTGATCGGTTTGTTACAGGCTTGGGCCTTGCAGGCAGTTTAATCAGTTTAATCTGCTTGTTTTTTGCGCGGCGAGAAAAAGTCGATGTTCGATCCTTGCAGGCGTACTTCAGCTTGTTGTCTAGTGGTGCAGCAGATCAGTCTCGTGGCCACGAATCGGGAACCTGCAGACCAGGTGAAGTCTATGAGCACATGGAGCTTCAGTTGCGTCAAGTGTTGGAGCGCGACAGAACTTGTGCACGGGCCCAAGAACACAGCTTGCCACGGTGATCATGTTGACCTGGAATGCTGATCCGTTCCACGAGTTCAAACTTGAAACGCGGAAAGGTTTGCCAGGTAATAGTACTTGTACCAGTTTCTAGTCGCTTGAGGTTAAGTGCATAAGCAGGGGATGCTAGACATCTTAAACGTGAGCTTGTACATAAGCTCAGCAGAAGGAAGTTGGCATCTCTCCTAGGGGCCTCTTATTTTGGGTGGGGATTTCTCAGAGCAAACCCGACAAAACGTTTACGGTCATATCAGCTTGCGGGAGTCAAGCCCACCTTTCCTGGCCGCAAATATGACAAAAAGCTGTTTTTTCCATGAATTGTTCTGGCGGCTCGGAGAGATGGTTAAAGAAACTGGGCTCAGTTAGTTGCAGATCCTAGTTTCTGTTGAAGGCAATCTCAGCAGATTTGCTGAAGGGTCCCAGCGAAGCTACTTGCAGTGCAGCAGCAGTCTGTGGAACAGCCGTTGAGACTCAGCAGTGCAGCCCAGTAGTGCAGCACATTGGAGCCGTTCCAGTGGTTGATCGTCAGCCAGAACGACAGAGCGAAGCCAAAACACATCCGGTAAAACTTGCCAAAGACAAAAGAATCCAGGATCGGCTGTTGTCGTGCAAGGTTCAATTGCGGCCGCCCCTAAGGCTCCGAAGCTTTGTATTGCTGTTGGAAAGATTCGCCCTGTAATACCCCGTAGTAGTCACATACAAAATCCATTTTAGAAACCACCCTTAAAGAGTTTAGACTCTAGCTCATTTCATAAAAGAGGCTGAGCTCGCTGCCCGGTGTTTGTCTCTGAGCCGGGGGCTGAGTCCTTTCCCGTACTTTCAACACCTTCCTTACCCCTGAACTCAATTCTCCTCACAGCAGCTCTCTCATGTGTATGTATTTATGGGGCACGCTCAATATTAGGGCGTGAGTTGGGTGTGTATATCAGGGGAAGGGACTAAGTGCCCTGGCGGCGTAGGCCAAAATGTTGCACTGGGAGGTCAGGGGCAAAGGGAACGATACTAACATGCTTGCTGGGATTTGTGTGGTGTTAATGGAGAGGCAGCATGAACCGCAGGAGATATGATGCTGTTAATGAGTGGGCGAACCCAGGTCGCAACCTGATTTCGGACGTGGTTGCGTTCCTACTGCTTGCGGCCACCCACCTGACGCAGACTGACAGCTTGCCATCCCTTGAGGTGGTCGTGCCACCGGCCGGCAAAGAGTAAAGCTAGTTGGGAAAGGTGTCTTGCTCAAAGCTGACTCGGTAGAGTTTTCTGAAGCCGAACAGCGAATAGCGGGTTTCCGGGGTCAGCTTGGTTCATTGCTTGAGGCGGTAGTATTCCTGAGCAGCGGATAGAAAAGGCTGCTGATGCTGTGTAGCCATACATCAAACCCTGGTTGGAGTGGTAGGACGGCTGTAACTGTAGCACATGTCTAGTCCAGCAAAAGTGGCCGAAGTCGGTTCTTTCAATCGCTGCAAGCGAAAGATGTGCAAGTAATTGCAAGTTGCAGATTGGCTGCATCAAGGCTTTGGCAGTCTCTTCCTACAAGCGCCGTGCTCGGCAGTGAGACCACCTGTGGTGCATGGAGATGGTAAGAATAAGACGTTAACAGTCGGTTCATGTTGGTCATGTTTTGATGCTAGTGAAGGCGGTGGTGCAAATCAAGGTCGCAGCCCTTTGCCAAGTCGTGCTGACCCTCAGCTACAGAAAGCCATGCAGGACTAAGCAGACTGGCCGTGTGAAAGTGCGAAAGTGGAGATTTGCCGGCTGCCACGACTAGTAGCAAGAAGCCCTGTCCAGCAGGATGCTTGGCAGACGATGATTGGCTCGCTGGTCGTGAACTTGCTGAGCCTTCGCTGGACTTCTCACCTGTTCGCTGGAAATGGAGCAGAGGAGGTGTCGCTCCTTGATGCAGCGCCCTGCAGTCAACGTAACTCCTGCTCCAAAAACATTGGAGTAGGTATGCACGATTGAACCCCCTGCCATTTTGCAGTGACTCACTTGTGAGGAGATGCTGCAGCTTGCACATGCTGCGCCAGAAGGCCTTTCTGAATTTTGCTGTTTTAGCGACGGCTTTGAGAGCGCTAGGAAAGGCACGAGGCGCGAAGTCAAGTCCAAGTGCTTGCAGGTTCCACAGCTTTGGCCGAGAGCCCTTCCGAGTCTCTACTTGCACAGGTAAGACGAGTGCGCGAGGACAACAAGGGTTTGCATCAAAGAACGCATCTTGGCAGTACTTCGAAGACGTTTCCTGAAGGAGTTCGAGGCGGGGCACTTCAAGACCAGCGGCTTGGCAGGACCATTTCGGGAGGCGTCGCAGCAGGACCTCGCCAGACTCACCATGCAGGATTCAGCAGCAGCAATGTCTGACTTACGCCTCTTGTGAACAGGATGCTAGGGAGAACCTGCTAATTGCAGTTGAGTCCCTCTTTGACCTGCTGTACTTGATCGGAGAGGCTTTTACGAATGATGGGACGGGGCAAACTTGATCTGTCCTCTGTTTGGTGGCTGGAAGTCAGATCTTCCAGGTAGTTGTGGTTGTACTCTGTATGCTAGGTCCTGTCGCAGTTCCATCGCATCAGCGACAGCTTGGGCGACTACGGAATGATCCGGGTAGCTTTGTGGCTTCTCTGCATTCGTCATGCGCGATTCCAGGACGGTCACGCAGACATAAATGCGAAGCAAATGAATTAAGAGGCTACGGTAGGAAGTTCAGAAAACAGGATCAGAAATTCAGACGGAACACTCTAGCAATTCGTGGAGCAATGTCTCCCATCAGGATGCATCAGGGTTCGGTGTAATTAGGGTTCCAGGTTGAAGTAGGGTTTAGGGATCAAAACGCTCCCAGCTTACCAGGGATCAGAGTCTGGACTGAAAAGGGATCAATATCAAGGTTCAGATGTCGCGTTGAGGCCGCAGAGGTTTGGGCTGCTGCGAGTTTCGGGAAGATGTTTAAAGTTTGGGGCTGAGGGTTTTGGGCAAGTCAAATGCAAATATGAAAAGGAAAAAGACTGCGCCGAGCAGATGCTCAGGGGTGCTCTGAGCTGATGGAAGGGCCTTCAACAACTCTTCTTGCCCAAGCCCAACAGGCAGCAACTCTCCAAGATGACGGGAAGTAGAGCAATGCTGGCAATGCTCATAAAGAAGGCTCCTTGTTACATTGTAGACCTTGACATTGCTCATCGGTTCGCCTATCATCCACTGTAGTTAAGAATTTCTTCGCAAACCACATGGTGTTTATGTCCATCCAAGGTGGCTACACCCTTGTGGCTTGTTTGCACCAGTCCAACTTGCACTCCAACTCAGCTGCTTCCCCTAAGCATCCCCTCCCCGCCTCAGGGATCCGTAGCAGAAGATTCTCTTATTGAGGGTATCCTGCTCCAGCTTTTTGACGGTCCATTGAGCAGCGAAGCAAGCCGCTACGACGCTATACCTCCCGTAAGAAACACCCCAATCCTAAGCCTCAAGCTTTAAATGCCAAACTCTACACGACACCTAGGTCTAGACAGCATGGTGGAGAAGCTGCAGCGCCTCCAAGGAAGCCTCAAAGGCAGGGCTTGCAGAGTAAATCAGCATGCACTTCAGCTTTGCAGCTCATACCTCCCTTACAAAGTCATGGTGCAGCGTGCCACGTTCAACATCTTTTCGCTGCATGCTCTCCGCTCGTCACTGCATGTGCGGCCATGTGCATCCAGCCTAGATAATCGCTCGTAGATATAGACGTGATACATGACCAGCACCGTCGGCTATGGCATTGCAGCTTGGGGAAGCAAACGGAGCCCGAATCCAGGATTGAACCGGCAAGATGGGGAGCCAAGTGCAGCCTCCTGGGACCTCACTCAGAAGTGGACCTTGCTTAGAGGAAACCTTCCATGGAAACAGAGCAGCACACAAAAACAGCTATGGATGGCAAAGCACCGCCAGCTCAATTAGTGCCGTGCTTGGTCCAGAAACCTGCTGATGCGTGCTTGCCTGTCTGCTTGCTTACTCACGCACGAATTCGTTGCCTCAAGAGTCCCACAGAGCAGTGGCCATGCAAAAAGAGAGTAGTAAGCAATTCTCAGGCAAATTCGGTGACTTGTATGAGAGGCCTCAACAGAGCAGTGGACTCGGAGTTGGTCATCGCAAAGGCGCGAGGAAGAAGCTTGAAGAAGCCACTGCCATCAGAGCGCCCCCTGGAATGCACAATTTCATGTTGAAAGTTCGTAGTCTGCTGTCGTACAATATGTAGCGAGAGGCACAGCAACTCCAACTACAAGCATGAACCTCAGGAATGTCAGCCCGTGGCCACGCCGCGATCCAGCGTGCTCTTGCTGCTCATCCGCACTTGGCTTGAAAGGATCCAGAAGATTCGCAGCAAAGAGCTCGTCTTCTTTCTTCGCGCCAGTCTAAGGACGGACGGGACTGTGGAGCTCCTGGGATGGCTGTTTGAACTGCAATTGTGAAAGTGAATCTGTGCCAAGGCCACTTAACCGCTCTGCTGCAGAGTTTGGAGGATTGCAGATGCTGAGTTGTCCGGGGCTGCAGCTCGTTCTTCACCGACATGGAGTTTTGGAGAAGCACACTTGTTCGCAATACGCATCATCAATCGCGGGCCCAACAACAGACTATAGAAGAAGATTGCTTTCCATCAGTTTTCCACTTCTGGCCCATCCGAACAAGTGGCACTGGCGTGCGCTTTGCAGGAGCTCAAATCGCATTCCTCCCCTGAGAGACTTCCACATGTAATGGAAGGTCTTGGAGACGCCTGTGCTCTGCGCTTAGCTTGGTGTAACTCAATGATTAAATCATAACGATTCGGTTCCTACGCTTCGGTTCCCCGGTTCGCGGTTCGGTTTGGTGGTCACCCTGTGATTTGCCTGCGACGAAATACTGTAGCTGGCTGTTTGCCAATTCGTTTGGGCAGCCAGCTTGGCAATAATCCTTGGGGTGGATGCAAGAAGCCGTTGCAAAGTTTCTCGCAGAATTGGATAGCCACAGCACCGTGGATCTCAAGTAGAGGGCAGAGCAACGTGTCGATGGTACCCATGCCGCTCATAAAGTCCTGATGATGCGCTTTGTCCCAAAAAAGCCTCCTACCCCCAACCACTCCTGCAAAGAGGGGTTTGCAGCATTCCCGGGGCACCTTCCAAGTTGCAGCTCCAGAACGTGCTGTCATCCGCGCAATTCCGCGCACGTGCCCTGCACTTGGGTTCAATCAGCTTTTCTTCTTCTGAGCTAAGTGTGCTTCATGTTCGTCAAGGTTGGAGATGCGTTTCCGCGGTTGCCTCCTTTGGCCGCTTCGAGTTGCAATTGGTCTTAGCAGACATGATATCTAATCTTGGCATAACATCGGGATTCATAATCTGTACACTGACACACTCATGCGGAACTTGTTTTTCATGTTTTATTCAGGTTTTAAGGGCTTTGTGCTTACATCGGGGGTTGGGCAAGCTTCTCGTCCCCATGTGCCGCTTTGAGGCCAACATGGGCCGAGCAAGCAGCAGACCTGCGCTTCAGCTAGAAAATAACGCTGGGATCGAGGAGATCAAATCTCAATTGCTGGGCTTTCCAGTCCTGTGAAGTCAGCCCGGCGAAAGGATGACGCTCCTATGGGCGACTACAGTGAGCCAGAGGAAGACCAGGCATGCAGCGAGTGCAGATCCGCAAGAATGTGCTGGCTGAAGAACTTGATGTGTTTCACAGCGTTGATGTAGGCTTTGTTTTGGGAAACTACGCAAATTTCTTGGACAATTTTGTTGTGCCGTCCTGCCTTTGGCGACTGCTTGCAGTTGCCGCAAAAAGAAGCGGATAGAAGCGGCCTGCTGGCATGAGCCATGCAGACTCGGCCCACCCTCTGCGCATAGACCCAGAGGATTTTACTGCAGCAGTTTACCTGCCTTGCACCCTGGCTGCACCATGTGGCAGAAGCTGAGGCTGATGTGCCATACCGACCGTATGAGGTCTTCAGGAGACGTTGAACATAGACTAGACAGAACACATTACGTAGTATGTAGTTTAGACGTGTACACTTTATTGAGAGGAAGCTAGTCGTCGAGCTTTTGAGCTTCCGCGTTTGCGCGACAGTACCTTTCCAAGCCTTGGCTCCGTGCCAAATTTCAAATGGCCTCACCACGCAATTTTTCTCAAGCCTGCGAAGCAAACTCTGCTACTTGTATACGACTGAAAACAAGGTACTGATGTCATCTGAGGTCATCAATTTGGATGTTGTGTTGCATGCGTGTGTGTGTGTGTGAAGTGCATCTGTCAAACACAATCATGACAATTTTCATTGATGAATGAGTGCAGAAGTCCATGCAGACATGCTTTGGGACCTCGGCAGGCCACAAGCGCCTGCATTCCAAGCTACGGTGCCCGATGCGGTCCCGGAAGGGGCAGGCCGGGGACCCAGCAAATGCAAAGTGACGTCCTCGTTTCTTGTTACTGGGGAAACAAGGACTGGAGTTTTTGTTTTATCCCCCAGACAAGTGATGATCATCAGCCTCTTTACTTCCCTCCCCGCCCGCCAGAGGCAAGCTTCTTTGTAGATTTTAGATGCTTTCTTCGGAGCGCAGATCCTGAATCGCGTGCCGCACCTTTGTACGGTGCGGTGTGGCGGATGGGTCGTTCTTCATGTCACTGAGCCCTCGAGCACAGGACCTACTCTCCACGACAGATGGCAAGCCAGGCAAAGGACACTACAGCAGTTGCCGCAGGCCAAGAATCAAGCCCGCAGGGCCTCAGAGCCTGATTTCTTTCAACTGCAACTTACAATGCCTTCGAAGCCTCAGCGTCGAAGCTTATGTGTTCCGTCGCTGAGGCTGTGTCACTGCCTCTCCCAGATGGCAGCAGAGAGGACTGCTGACCGGCGTGTGAGAGATACTGCACAGAAGAGTGCTTTCATGTGCGTGTCGTACTAGGCTTGATAAGCATAATTAACCACGGCCACATGCTTGAAACTGATGAGCTACCTCAGGACAGCCCTGAAAAGCTTGCGTTTCAGTCCTGTCTCTTCTTCGCTCAGGTGGGAATTGGCCATGTTTGCTCTGTTTGACGGCAGTAAGATTCCACTGACCGCAGCGCTTCTTGAGCTTGGCTCAAACATATAAGCCGGCCCATGTACCGCCACGATACAGTCAGGCCATTCTGAAGTTACAGGAGGGTTTTTTCCTGCAGTTATGAGGTTGACACGCATCACATCATGTTTGTGTTGGTACGGACAGCTCACGAAGGATCAAGAAGCTGAAAGTCATTGGCAGGCCTTTGTGAGTTCCAGGTTACTTGCAGAGAGACGGGGTGATGTGTAGAACCTTCTCCTGACCAACTTGCCTTCATGCTGTCGTAGACTGTGAAAGTCAAGTCATATCAAGATCTAAGACATCAGCGCCCCATGAAGCATGGCACGCCTGCCCTTGGAGCTCACGCTGCCCTTGTGCTTGGTGTTCCTCCAAGCGCTGTGGTCGTGGGCTAAGTTCTCGGTTTACCCCAGCGAGCAGGTTTCTGGAGTTCTCCGCAAATAGGCTTCCTTGGGGGTTTCCCAAAATTATGGGCACCTTTCGAGTGATCCCCAGAATCAGGATTCCAGTGTATTTTGGGATCCATATTGGGGCTTCCCCTTTTATGAAAACTACCTCCTGAGGTCATATGTGTATCCACATTTGCCGAACCTGACCTTCCACGTCGGTGGCTTGGGAGTAACTTCCCGTCCCTGCACTCTGACTTTATGTGCGTGATCTGAGGCAGAACATTCGCCAGAGCCCAAAGACCAGGCTCCAGTGACACCGAAACCGCATGTGGATGATCACCAGCCGCAGCTGCAACGAATGCAGAAAGAGGCCAGCCATAGCAACATCCTGCTCAACAGCTTTGGTTGCCGTATCAGTGGGCACATGTCCTGAGAGGTGGTCTTCGCCGAAAAGTCGGCAAAATGGCTTTCCCCAAAGGGTGAGAACAGGCAGGTTGACGAATCCACGCCCCCGCATCTCACTTGGCATTTAGAGGTGCTGTCCCTGCTTGCCCAGCACTGGCAGAGCTTGATGCATTCGCAGAAAGTACAAAGGCCTGGCACCACTGAGCTACCTCTCTTTCCGCGGCTTAGCTGTGCAAATGCGTGCTCCCGCTGCTGTTGCCACAATCTGATTCATCGAAAATGTATGCCCTGTCGTTTTCGTTCTGATAGTCCCCGGGGTCATGAGACGCAGAATAGTCTGGAAACTCGCCGAAGCTGATGCAGAACCTACAGTAGAAATGACTGTTCCAGTTGAGCTTGGCTTCCGCATGAGGTTGAGTGCCACATTCTATGCCTTGAACTCGCACCCAGCCGCTTGGGGCAGAAGTTGGATTTGTTGCTTGTTTATTCGCGCTTTGGACGGATGCGTGCCTTCAAATGTTTGCTCTCTGCTGCGCATTCGTGCTTGAGTTGAATTGGAGAGCAGCTAAGACTTTGCAGATTTTCGAGCCCAGCTTCTCGACTGAAACTAGTCTGCCCTCTTCGGCGTTCAAAATGCATCTGCTTGCTACAGGATATCGCCAGCTCTATCATGATGTCCTGACTTCTGGGCAGAACACTTTTGTCGTGACGGCTGCAGACGCGGACAGTGGACGTTTGGCAGCCTATGGCAACGGGCCGAGACACGGGCGATTGCGTGTTGCAGGAACTGAGGATCAGCTGTTGACGGCATGCATTTGGTGTCAGGCGTGGTTTTTCGCATTGACAAAGTGGCAGACGTGGCTGAAGAGACGCAAGGCCAGATCAAATACATTGCTGAGCACCCCAACAGCAGAATCCCAGCAACCACCCTGTTCGTACTGTCCATGCTGGCCTAATTCTGGCATTGTCCCAGCAGAAGCCCAGGCACACGGTGGAGTCTCGAGTTCAGATCCGCCGAGTATTGAATCCGGATTCCATGGCCGAACACAGCCACTACTTGCGAGCTCTGGTTGCTCCTGTGAAAACCTAAGAGCTTATCGCGAAATCAGAGCGCTTTTTGCATCGCAAGTGACAAGAAATATCGCGAGGTGGAAGATGACCCAGGCGATTTAGACGATTTGCATGACGTTGAGGCATGTGCCATCATGTGTCACTTTGCTGCTAGCCTTTCAAGCGAACTTTGACGAGCCCAGGTCGAGGTCACTGACCTTTTCGAATCTTTGGTGAAAGAGGTGCACGAATCCAGGCCGCAAAAGCCTCCGCGAACTTTGCACAGTGCTGAAGCCAAAGTCAAAACGAGCTCCAAGCTGATGGTTAAGGATGTGCAAGCTGAAATCGCAAGTCGCAGTCTGCAAGTTAACGCATCGCGCGACGGTGGCTTGTGGCAGCTGTCTGCGCTACTTGTTGCAAGGAGCAGATGTGTCGTACATTTGCCGTATTTTGGTGCATCGATTCTGGGTCCACTTGCCTTTAGGCCATGTTTCAAGCTAGGCCACATGTTTGATAATCTCATGACTGCACTTTGCTTATTCTTGGACAGTAGGAGTTCCTCCCAGGCTGTATACAACCTTGCGACAATGTCTCCTTGGGCGTCGGGGAGTTCGGATAGGGATGCGTTCGGAGTCAGGGAGTTGCAGGTATAGTTTGGGGCATTTTGGGGCATCCCTGTTCAAAAGTTTAACATGCCCTCGGCTCTACATGGCTCTACATGCAAATGCAACTGACAGGGTTTCAAGAGCCCATGTCTAAATTTCTTTTGGCATTCAGGCAGCCACACGATTTGAGGCTTTTGGGATAAAGCATAGACTTGATTCCGCGATTCATGTACATTTTTGTTGGAGCAGCTTCTACATGGGATTCTGGGAAATGTCTACTCATATTCTCGCGGACACTTTTGTGATAAATCCACTACTTATAGCAGGCCTTTGTCCTTAAGTCCGGTTTGGGGAGATGCCGCGCGACTCTTTTGGAAATAAGGCTGTGGCTGGACACCCACGCCCGGCATCGCTTGCGACGCTTGGCAGGTTGAGAAAGGTCATGCCGCGTGGCCAGCACCATTGCACACAAGAATGCATGCACCACTGGACAGGAACTATCCAGAACCAGCTGCTTTCCCAAGTAAAGGAGGTGTATGAGAAGTACGCCAGTCAGCATATGCAGGACTGGTAGAGTGCTTGCATTCCTTGGTTTTCCTAGTCCAAATTCATTGACTGGGCAAGGAGCAGGTCAATCCCGACGATATGCCGCCGTCGGTCCATGTGGAGGCTAGCGCTTGGTTCGCAAGTTTCGCATCAGGCGATTTTGAGTTTTTTTGGTAGGAGTATGATTGGCAGGGCCTTTGTGTTGCCATTCGAAAGCAGTCTGCCGTGTCAGAGTGGCTCTAAATGCTTCAACACATGAGCAATCGGCATTTCACGCACAAGCTTTCGCCAATGTTTGTAGTTCAGCAACAGCTTAGAATCCGTTAGAATGAAGCAGTCAGAATGTCTTGATAGCAACCAATTAGCAGCTACAGACGTGCATTGCTAGTTGGGCTTTTGTTCATTGCATGTTGCTAGCAATGTGTATATGAAACTCCTGGGCGCGAGGTACGTGAATTGAAAACCACGCCAGCTTCCTAGAATTTAGTCTGCATGCCAAGACAGATGTTGAGGGACGCTTCAGAAAAGCAATCAAGGAGTTTCCACCATTTTCAGGTTTGATGCTGAGATGCAACGTGTGCTGGGAGAGCAGGCAAGGACCAATGCACTCTCACATGCAGAACGATTGATGAGTGTTGCTTAAGGTGAACTTGGGGCAGCTGCTGTTGCAGAGCCGCTCCCACAAGGAGCGTCTACACCTGCTTCGCTCAGCGTTTCAGGTGGGTCACGGATTGCAATCTTAGGAGCTGCAAGCATGTGGGACACTTCAGTTCAGGTGGAGCGCTTGTTCGCTGCCGCCGCTGATCCTGAGTCAATGGCGGCAGCGTTCGTAGGATGATGCTTGTAAAGTAATTAGAGCTTTTTCAGCAATAAGCCTGAACAATATGGCCTCCGCAAGACAAAGCAAGGGCAGCGTGACTTCAGAGCTATGGAAACGCAGAGACATCCATGCGTGGTGCAGAGATGCTCGTTTGGGCATGTTGGCTCAAAAGAAGGTTCGTTAAGCTTCAGATATGCAATCCTTGGGGTCGAACATCGCAACTTAAGTAAAAGTAGAATGCTGCAGCACTGCTTTGGGCTCTGGCTGCTGCTCTTTGCAGCTCCTTTACCTTCTACAGCATGTATAGTTCTTCTTCTTCCAATCCCAATACTTTTGGCTGGCGGCGACTCTAGTGTCCAACAGGACTGACATCTTGCTCTCTGCGCATGGCAACGCCGTCCCTCCAGCCAGGTGGTGGTCAGCCCCGTCAAAGAAACTTGCCAGGCACAAAGGTTGCGCACATGTGGAGCTGGCGGGTGCGGCCTTTCGAAACATATCAGGGGCCTCTTGCGCTTGCTGAGTACATACAGGATCTTCTGCGCGAGGATCCCTCCGATCTGGAAAGGATCTATGAATTGCCAAGCCCTGACATCGATGACCTTGTGTGGCAGTACGAGCATCTACGACAATTTGTGATAGAATTCAACTTGCTGCTTGTCGCACTCGCTGGCATTTGCACACCAGAGACTTGCCCAAAGATGACGGCATCCAATGACTGGCAATACCTGTGCTCTGCGCACAGAAAGCCTCAAGAGTGTGCAGCCATTGACTACATGACCCACACCATTGATGGATCAACAGCACTGCTTACCGTGGCATGCCCTTTCTCTTCACGGTCGCAAGTGCCCAGCAGCAGCACAAAATATTTCCAGTCCATGTCGCGGCGGCTGTACCGGATTTTTGCACACGTCTACTTCCACCATAGAGAACATTTCGACTTGTTGGAGACAGAGAGGAGACTTTGCGCTCGCTTTTCTCACTTCGTGATGCGATATCAACTCATGACTCGGTCCATGTTGCTCATTCCTCCTGAAGGTTATGAAATCTTCGATTAGCAAGGCTTGCTTCAGCAGGCACCTCTTATGCACGGCTAGAAGTTGGCCTTTGCAGCTGTCGCCTGAAATTCGGGCCGTACAGCAATTTGCAGCACTAAGGCTGTTGGCAAAAAAAGCATTGCAAGTTGCATCATCACCGAGCCAGGGTAGTGGTCAGTATCTTTTGACTTCCATTAAACCCTATAATCCCTATAGTTTCCATTTTCTTTTCCATTATCCCAATATTACCCCAATAGTAACCCCAATAAAACCCCAATATTTTGACCGTTTGTTGCCTGTGACTTGGCAGGGCTCGTCCCGGAGGCAACCGCTGGGGCGCGGGATGCAGGGAGGGATTTACTTGAGCACCTTTGGTCTTGTGTGAAGTGCGCTGGGTGCCATACACAGAGTTCTTCATGATGTTTGTGCAGGCAAAAACATTCCAGGCATTGTTGCAGTGTTGTGAAGGAGTGGCAGTGTGCCCGCAGCGATTCGGGCGACCTGGCGGGCATTTTGCGGACTCAAGGACTGGATGTCAAAGACAACACCAGTTGCCAAGCCCCCAGCTAGACATTTCAAATTCGCAGGCACTGTTCTCTTTTTAGTAGGAGCCGGCTATGCTGCCGGTGTCCGCAGCACCACCAGCGTTGCCTGGCCCTCCTGATTCCAGTATGCCAGCGGACTTGGTGACTGAACCGAGCTCAGAAAGCATTCCGCTATACAATAGGATAACTTGTGGGCCGGGTCATCTATGCATGCATGTGCGTGCCCTGACTTTTTGACCAAGAATCTTCCCAACGATGGCTGGATTTCGCACACGGGTCCTGGAGGCATGGCAATGGGTAGGTTCTCAAGTTGCCTGGTCTTTCGCAGCAATTATGATGAAGGGCGTACATCCTGGCACCACAAGTCCCTGGGGCCTGCGCCGTGGGAAGGCATCTTGGTGGCAGATGTTTACATTCCAGGCAGACTTGAGTGGTTCACGAGGGCAAAGGGCAGGCGTGGTGGGAGTGGGCTGGGAGCTCAAATCGGCGGAGGCAGGCTTTTCTGGGCGGGATGTGGCTATATCCCTGTGGCTACATCCCTGGCTTGGAAAGGCATGCCGCGCGGCCCCTGTGTCACAGACATTCTGATGGAGATTTTTTGTGAAAGCTTCTGCAGTGCATACAACCGTGCATGCTCCCTAAGCTGAGGACGTCCTATGGAGGATCACCCAACGCCAGTGACCTTGGCTGAATCTGTGACGCAATGAACCGTCCCATCCTTGCTTTTTTGCTGCTGCGGCTGAGCATCCTTGCGAAGACCCTTTCTGTTTTACTGCTTCACCTTTTCGAAGCTTGTCAAGTATAAGGCAAGCGCCGCAAGCGCGCTTACAGTGGCTGATGCGAATACGCTCGGCTCATCACGCGAACAGAGACGCGAGACTTGCCGGCAGCAGAATCTTACTCCATGCTCCAACTTCACGCTCAGTCCACATTAAGCCTCGAAGGACACCAATCCCTTCTCGGAAGATCTCGGTCAGGATCGTGTTGATGCTGACACCGGGAGAAGTAGCACCTCATCAGCAGAACACGTGAGGTCGGCTTGAGTGGCGATCTTTGAGAGGTTCCTGCTGCTGGCAGTTTGCTGGAAGAAACCCACCCTCATAAATACCTTCTGCGGTCCTATCCCTTTGGCAACATCTCGGGTCGAGTTGAGGTCAGGCTCATAGGACATCTGCGCGAGACGTGGATGCCCTGTCCCCCTTGTCTTTCGGAGTTGATCGACGCAGCACTTCGGCAACCCTCATAGGCTGGGCAAAGCAAAGTTCAGTAAGGTTCAATGACCCTGTAGTCACTTATACGAGCTCAGCTGCTGAGCTGTCGCAGGTGCCGATTCGAACATGTCCCTGCCACGAGACAAAGACTCGATCAGGAGATGGTAGCATCTGCGGAGCCTTCTTGCAGTACAGTTTGCTCGCTTACTTGGCGGTAGAGATTGATGAAGCCTTGCTCTTGAGCCCAGCTGCGAGGACCTTATCCACAGAGCTCACACCGGCAAGTATGCCGCAAGTGGCACCACCCAGGCATATGCCGGAGTGGCTGGGCTTGTTCTGCAAAAATGCTTTCACAACCGTAGTCGTTTTTCGAAGGTGCTTGCCTTTGTCGCACACAGTCGCATGGCCAACGAGGTTCCCAGACACGCCTTCCACAGGTTCCAGGCTGTTGGGTGCATCCGCCGCGACCGGCAAAATGGTGCCTGGTGACGGTCTTCCGACAGCATAGCAGGGCTATTGTCAAGAGAATGAGCAGCGCAGCCTTGCAAGTTTACTTCCTCCCGAGGACATCATGGCCAGGAGCCGCATGTCGTCGGTTCCGGAAAGGCATGGCTTGGCCAGCCCCGAGATGCTCAGGCCGGCAAGTCTTTATAAAGACACGACCTGCAGGCACCGGCGACTCCTTTGGCCAGCTTGAGCAAGGGAAGTCTTCGTGCTGAGGCCCTTTCATGTGTGGGCTTCACTTTGCTGTTTGATGTTTAGACGCTGCGTGCCCTTTTCGATGGCCAGTACCACTGTTATTTATAATTACTTGCATTTCGGCTACTCCTGACATGAGTTGGTGTGCACGTTTTGTGTCTTGGAGGTGCACAGACTCACAACAGGCGTTCAGGGATGGAAGCGACACGACTCTCGCAGTCTTTTCATAACTGGCAGCCAGCTGTTCCCCGGCTGCACAGGATTTGGAGATACCTTGCTCGGCTGCCCTGCTGCCATGTGAGTCTGAGAGTCTCAATTTCTGACAGGCTCATTTATGAGAAGGCCGACCAGTTGACCGACAATGGGTGACATCACTGTTTGGGCTCATAGAACTCTGCCAGTCCCATCAGACCTGCGTGCGCGGATCCTAGAGCAACATTACATCAAGCGCGTGGTTTTTCTAGGCTCCAATGAAACCCTTGCGGCTTCTGCTCTTCTGACCGCCGCGAGGGCTCCACGGACCAAGTCAAGACTGTGGTTGACATTGGAGCTGGCGAGGTGGAGAGGTTGGGCCGGCATCTACACAATCATCACAAGCGTACACTATATACAGGGGATGTCGCGTTCATTTTTGAAACGCATTTGCCTGTGAGATGTTTTTTTCCGTACCTCTTCTTCATGCCACAGTCTCTGTCGTCATTTAAGCATGCTCCTGCTGAGACCGGCTGGGCATTCATATCAAGCGCTGCTGCATCAAATCCACCAAGCATTGCAGTTGGCCGTGTTCAGCTTCGCAGGTGTTGCTTGGTCGGCACGGGGATCATGTCGCTCCAAGTGCAGCGCAAGAAACGACGATCGCAGAGCACCCAGCAAGAGCAGTCGGGGGTCTGAAAGGGAAAAGTCTATAGCATCGCCCCAACGGTTGATTCAGTCATCCACCGGTGTGAGGCTGTGGCAATGCAAGTGTCTCTAGCAGCAAGCTGTCGTAGGTCTAGCCTTGGACGCTTCACTTCGCCACGCCGATCAGGTGCACGAAGGGTTCTACTTATCAAGTCCAAGTTTGCTTTATAGAACTGTATAGCAAAGCCCAGCTGTCGTCAATGTCCTGGATGCAAAGAAAACTCCAAGTTTGCGATGCTAAAGCTACCTGTACCCAAGCTGCAGGTGCAGCTAGGTCAGAGGCTCGTGAGCAGAAGTTGTACTTCTTTGAGTTCGACGATGCTGCTGCGGCTCGAGAGTTGCTTGGCCGGCCCACGACTTTGGTGAACGGTTGTGCTTGCGGTAGTTGCAGACAATCTGTTTCGACGATGTACCGTCCCGAAGAGGTCGGCACTTCATCTACTGGGAAGACAGCACTGTAGTATAGCCTCGCACGATGGTTGATAACCAATGAGCGTAATTGCTATGTGGCTATGTGCCTTTTCTCAGCTTTCGCGTCTGCCGAGGTTTTGCGATGCGCTCTCCAGTTTGCAGCATCTGCCGAACAGATGATGGACGAAAAACAGTTGCACGCGTGGCGTGGCACAATGATCCCTGCCTGAACTGTGTGAGGTGGCAGCTTAAAGTATCAGCCGCGGCATCTTTAATCAGTAGTCCGACCCATTCCGTGCAGATTCTCGGGCCTTGCGATTGCACTGTATGCAGACGTCTTCCTGTGGCCTTGCGGCTTTGCTGACTGGGGTTGAGCAACAAGAGCAAAAGTGGATCTGCCAGTAGCCACGCTTTGCAGTCATCTGATCATATGGTCTCGTTGTGCAAGCGTGTGCTTCGAATTTCAGGCTGAAGTTTGGAGAATTCTTGCTGCTACCAGTCATGTAGCCCATTGTCTACAAACAGTAGTTATGGAGCCACACCGCGGTCTGATGCCATGGAAGTGGTGAACGAGCACGACCGCCTGTATTTACCCAGCCACCAGCTGTGTGTCAACGCAAGCTTGCGAGATGTTGGCTTCTCCGCTGTCCGCTGCAATTTGTGCAACGGTGAGATTAAAGCTGGCTTTTTCGTCGTGGTGATGCAGTGCAAGCACACCTTCCACAAGGAGTGTTTTCATAGCCATTTTTCGGCTGTCGCAGACAACCCGCAAGAATCGGATGGCATCAGAACAGAAAACCAGGCAAGCTGCAATAACGTAGGGTGCCAGCTTGCCTGATTAATCCAAGCTCTTCAATAACAAGGGGTTCCCCGACCCCCTCTCTCAAGAAAGTACCTTCCTTTTTTTCAATCATTCTAGGGGCTTCAAAGAGAAGAGACACCATTTTAAGCAAGCTCCGTAAGGGGTAGCTTAGGAAGCAATGTTTGAGCCTTGAACGGTTTCAGAATGAGCTTTCTTATTCTTATTTTCAGAGCAGCCGAGTAAGCGAATCTCCCTGTACCTTAAAACTTTCAAGGCGTGCTCGTGAATTTAATTACGTATACATCAAAAGCTCCTGGAAAAATATCTGTAAATGAATCAAGATCTGTTTAAGATCAATTACAACCATTTGACATATCTTTCCATGGTTTTTAGGGTCTGGAATGAGTTTTCTTTACATCTATGGTGTTCTGCCCCAAAATCTGCCTCTGCCTTTAAAGTGCTCTTGGACCCTTAATTTGGCCAGAAGAATCCTTTGAATCCAGGGGGTTTTATTGCTCGACAGCACGGATTAGTGAGCAGACTGGCGATGATAAAGCAACCTTGAAACGGACTGCTGATGTCATTGTGGTGCAAGGAGGAGTCAAAGCCCGATACTCGGCGCCCGCGAGAGCCCGTACCGGAGCCTGCTGCAACTTGCCAGTTCCCAGAGGGGGCAGATGAAGTGATTTGTGTTGCAAGCTTGGGTTTGATTTTAGGAGTTCAGGTTAGGGGTTGGAGTCTGAAGTGCACTCCTTGCGGTTGCATGTTGTATGCACTGTGCTGTGACATATTTGTGGGTCAGTGGTTCACGATTATCATGTTATGCTCCTGCTACTTATGTGGGCCAGCAGTTCCAAACCTGCCTTGTCTGCCTTGTACGTTCGTATTTGCATAATTTATTCTGGGTATCTGAGTTATCGGTACAGGGGGTGTTCAAAGTTTCATTTCCTTTCGAAAGTAGTGTGCCGCCACAGAGTCCTGGCCTTTCTGTTCAGAGAAGAAATTATCTGAATGCTACGTATCTTGGCTCCCCGGTTGGCAGAAGTCCTCGTCGAGCCTTGCTGAGGAACCCCCTCGACAGCGGCCGCGCCGTGAGGAGCCGCCTGAGGCTTTGCCTTTAGTTTTAGGGAGGGAATGCCCCAAGTTTGTAAGTAGGCACTATGCCATAAGATGCCATAGTTTTCTTATAGTTACTACTATGGATAACGTTAGTGTTTCATGACGTGCCTGCCGCGTGAAATCATATACAGGAGGTTTAATGCCCCTACTGATTGTGGTGAAGATGATGGTGGTGGTGGTGGTGGTGTTGGTGGTGGTGGTGGTGGTGGTGGTCGTCATGGTGGCCGTTGCGGCGGTGGTCGCGGTGGCGGTGGTTGTGGTGGCGGTGGTCGTGGTGGCGGTGGTGGGCTGGTCGCCGTGGTGCTGTGGTGGCAGCAGTATTGGTAGTAGCAGCTGTGGTACCTGCTGCAGCAGGACTGGACCATGAGGAGCTGTTTTGTGATCATTACTATTGGCAAATAGTAGTAGCGGTAGCAGTAGCACTTTCACCAGCAGATGCAGGCGCCGTAGTAGCTAGCTGCTTTTCGGATTGTATAGTAGGAGCAGGGAGAGCTGCGCCAAGCTGACAAGCTTCAAAGGGAATGCCAGCAAGAAAGTCAAACAACAACATCACTTGGATCCCCAGTACTTTATGGGAATAGGTCTCCCTTCCCAAAGCAGTTTCTAGCTCACGGAGAGTCTGGAAGCTGTTCTGCCCTGGGGCCTTTTGCAGGTGAGCGAGCCCACAACCCGTGAGGAGTGGTGCCTGGGCTTCAGATGGCCACTTTCCCCTTGAAGCGTTTGGGATCCTCCACTTGGGTGTGCACACGTTCGAGGAGGAAATGATTTCTTGTTTACACAAAAACCCAGGGAGCCCAATACTCCTTAATTAAGGAATATATCTTAATTCACATCAGGGACCCTAGTACCATTTAGGGTATATTCCTTGATTAAGGGGTATTGGGCTCTCTGAGAACCCAAGCACATCTCCCAAGGATGCGAGCTCAAGATCGGTTTTTTGGACATCTCCGGCCACTTCCAGCTGACTGGATCCGGATCCGATCTAAAACCAGCCGCCGCCTGGAGCAGAATCATTTCTGCGTAGGATATGGGGGTTTTCAAGAATATTTGAGGTTGTGATTTGGCGGTCCCCATAAGAATGATTATAGTGTTTGGGGTGGAAATCGGGGTGCGCCTGGTCATGGAAACCACCATAAGGAGTTTTGGGGGCTTAGGGAGGCGCAGGGAGTTTGGGAGACATTGCTTGTGGTTGCAGTCATTGCCACAGTGACAACTATCAAGCATGTTCACTGGTTGCATCTTCTCAGCCAGGAGCGATCTACTACTACAACACCAAGACTGGGGTGTCACAGAACGAGGAGCCACGCTGATGGAAAGGTTGCACTGCCAGAAGATAAGAGCAGGCGACTGTCTGCAAAATGCAGATGAACTCTGACTCTGAGCCCATCTAGCGGCAGCGCCACTAGCACGCTTCTACCTCTGTAACCTTGGGCTTGGCCCAGGGAGGGGAAGAGCTGGATTGCGAGTTGTAGCGGCGTTCGGGGAAAAGCCTTGCACATGAAGTGAACCATACGTATGTGATACCATAAGTCGAATGCAGGTTGTATCGCGCGCAGAAAGCGGCTTCATGAAGCGCTTTCGTCAAAGCTAGTACTCAAGATCGCAAAGTCATCGAACATGGCCACGAATTTCGTTCAAAGAATCAACGTTGCAATGCGGCCCTGCGCCGCCAAAACTACTACTGCCAGCCAAGCTTCGTGCCCCGATCCACACTCTTGCTTTTGGGGCTGCTACAGGTCTGGCAAATTATCGCTATTACTGTGGCACAAGTAGTTCGCATGCGGCTGCTGAATCGCTTCAATCCCTCCTCGTGGAGCAAAGGATAACATGGGGCCTTGGTGCGAGCATACAATGAAGCTTTTTTCGCATTGTGCTGCAACAGCCCTTTTCGCAGGCCAAAGGCGCACTTACACACTACCTACTGTGACAACTGCTCTTCTTGTTAGTGTCTTATGGCTAACTGGTTTGTGTGTTTGGTATGCCCATACTCGTGTCTGATAGCACCTCATATTGCCATGAGCAGTTTTCAGCTTCTTCCATTTTTCCTTCGCCAGGAAGCCGATAGGTTCTCCTACAATGAGTTGCTTGGAGTATTGAGAACTCGCCCGAGAATCCCCATCCAGCTTCTGCACTCCTCTTTTCCCTTAGGGATCATTTTTAGGAAGTCAGGATTTGTAAGATTCCTGAACCCTAAACCCTATACATAGCAGTTTCCATTTTCTTTTCCATTATCCCTATATACCCCCAATAAACCTACTAAGAGAAACAGGAAGTCAGCATTTTCAACGCCTCATCGCGCCGTTGCAGGCCGGCGAGGCCACGGATGTCTCCGGACGAAGTTTGAGGCCCTTGAAGACAGGGTTATATTGGGGTTATATTGGGACTGTATTGGGACTATGTTGGGGTTATATTGGGGTTATATTGGGATTATATTGGGGTTATGTTGGGACTATATTGGGACTATATCGGGGTTATATTGGGGTTATATTGGGACTATATTGGGGTTATATTGGCGTTATATTGGGACTATATTGGGATTATATTGGGGTTATATTGGGGTTATATTGGGGTTATATTGGGACTATATTGGGACTATATTGGGGCTATATTGGGATTATATTGGGACTATATTGGGGTTATATTGGGGTTATATTGGGACTATATTGGGACTATATTGGGGTTATATTGGGGTTATATTGGGACTATATTGGGACTATATTGGGGTTATATTGGGGTTATATTGGGACTATATTGGGACTATATTGGGGTTATATTGGGACTATATTGGG